TGGACACTTTGCTTTTACAAGGTGGTGTCTTAAGTCAGTTGTTGTTAGCATCCATGAAGTTTTCCTTTTCGGTTTCTGCAGAAAGCTTAGAATGAAATTTAACGAGGACTGGTACAATTTCCCTGCTGTGCCTATGGGAGCGAAATTCCCGCAGCCTGGGTGAATGGCCCAAAGCTGTGTCAGGAGAGGTTTGGGTTGGATATCAGGAAAAGTTTCTTCACCCAGAGGGTGGTCAGGCACTGGAACAGGCTCTCCAGGGAACTGGTCACAGCACAAGCCTGACAGAGTTCAATAATGTTTGGACAATTCTCTGAGGCACATGCTGTGACACTTAAGGTGGCCTGTGCAGGGCCAGGATTTGGCTTTGATGACCCTAGTGTCCCTTTCAGCTCAAGATATTCTATGATTCTATGATTCTGTGACAACTAAATTAGAGGAAACTTCATCAGCATGTTGGACTGCACAGGCATTCTGCTGAGGTGGGATGTGAATCTTTCCTGACACAGTGGATCCTTTTTACATTTGATAAAACCTAAACTTAACAAAATCGTTCCATAATGGAGATGTCAGCATGTTTGCACTAGACAGAGAGGAGGGAAAGTTTAATTTCCATGAGCTCTGGAACCCCTCTTATTAATTTCATCAGGACCTGGCTCCAGTTAGGAAATGGTAAGCCTGCCATTATGGTGGGCTTTCCTCTGCTCCTGACATGTCAGGTTCTTTAGTGCTACAGCAGAAATTACTGAAGTGAAGCTCCTGGAGCAACACATTTCTCCTGTTGACCTGAGGACCTACAGGTTATTTCTACACCAGGAGGTGAAAAATGGGCAACAGAGGAGAAAATATCCTAGTCCCTTCCACTTCATGTCCATTTTGCTGGCTCTTACCCTTGCAGTCATTCAGACTTGAGGTGCCTCATCTGTCACAGCATTAGCTGTATGCAGTGCCTGATTTTGCTATTTTTTTGTTAGGTATTTACCTGTATGTGGAATGGTCCATGCTATATACACACATATTTTTCTCAAATATAGATTTAGGGACTTGGGGATGAGTAGATCATATATGGGTGTCAAAAATTTGGCATGTTTATGTAGCCAAGTAAATTCTACTGAAAACTGCTTCTATACTAATAAAGTAAACACACCTTATACTGTTCTTGGTCTTGAGGCTTACTTCTGTGCAATGGTTGTCTCACCCTACAAAACATGGTGGCTCTATGCTGACTTATTATTAGGAGTGACCCCTGTTCCCTCCTAACTCTTGAACTACGCACTAAAGTGGTTTGGGGGAGTGCTGTGGGTACAGACCAAAGCCATTCCAGATGCTGTGGTAATAACATGCTACAGGTAATAAAGTTCCTGTGCCCAGAGATGTTTCTCACTGCTATTGTGCAACAGCACGATATACTCCCTATGTTTAGGGAGAAGGGAGCCAGTGAGCTGGGCTGACATGTTTCCAGTCCCACCTTCTCGAGACTGCAGGCCACAGAAAAAAAGGGTGGGTCCATGCTCATGTCCCAGTTGTCTTCTACCTCTTCCCTAAATCAAGCTTCAGATCTTAGGCTATACTCAGTGATGGAATAAAGATTTACACGAGGGAAGACTGACCATGTTTAGTGTTGACTATCAGTCACTTAGCTGACAGATAGACAAAGCCTTCCTTGTAGTCCCAGAGGAGGGAATTGAGTTAGGAATGTATCCTGAACAATGCCTGACTCATCCTCATGATAGCACATCATATCTGAGGGAGATAGAGCTGGCCAGACCATAACTTCCATCATTGTATAATGGACATGTGTTGGGAATATGGATCAAAGCTGTAACACTTCCCTTCCTACTGCTGCTCTAGACTGCATCAAGCATCAAGAAACACAGTGGATCATCAGCACAGAAAATAGATCAATTGTGGGGTTGAAACATTCCAGGTAGGCAAGTTGCCGCTTACCAAAGGCGTATGGCTTAAGCAACTGCTGTCCTGAAAGACTATTAAAATTAAATTGTGAATTGACATCTCTGTTGTTGCAGCCCTGGAGCAGAGTGGTTGCCACCCTATTTGACAATGGAGAATCTAAGCATAGCAACAGAGGACTTAGTCTGCTGAATAGTGTGCAGTATTTTATAATTTAATAATATTAAACTAGGATGTTCTGATAATACTATTTGAAAGCTGTTTAGTTTATTTAATACCATTTATATTTTATTTGTTAGTTGAATTTGGGGAAAAAACATTTTAGAAGAAACTGGGGGGAGCGTGGTAGGAAATTGTGCAACATACTTATCTGAGACTATATCACATGGTCTGCAAAGCACGGCTTTTGCTTTTATACACATAGTCTTGGCGACTCTCCCACCAGCAACAATAGTGCTCAGACTCATACTGATGTCACTGTTGAGTTATTTAATTTGACTGAAGGAGATTAATGTGTTTATTTAAAACCTTGGTCAAAATGGAAAAGAAAATCTTGGGACAATACTTTTATGTGAACATGTATGTTTTCACATCTGATGATTGTAGTGTTGCATTAACTTATCAGGAGCAGTTGTTTACACTTGCCAATGCCCAGGAGACCCCCTCAGATAAGAAGTGTGAGCCGTTTTCCCTCTCAGCATAGAACAGAGACTTCTACACTGCTACTGGTCTGGTGGGCTTTCATCCCAGGCTTTCCTTGCTTCCTGTTGCTGCTTTCATGGTTGATCCACAGTGATCCCAGCATTGTTTTATTTTCTTATGTGAAGATGGGGTTTGGTGCCACCAGGCAATGACAGCTGTGTGATGGTGGATCGTCCACAGGTTCTCACCAGGGCAGCAAGGGATGGACACCTCCACTGCACAGGATGTCTGGATGGGGCTGGTGCTGGGCTCTGTAGCCTGAACCTGCTCCTGCAAAGGCTGGAGCCTTCCTCCCTAAATTTTATCCACATCATGTTTTACAAACAGATTGACGGGTTCTTTTCCTGTGATAAATCACTCTGATTTTCCTTCATTTTCACATACATCCTCTAAGTGTTTGGAATAGACTTTTCGTAATAGGCTTTGTCTAGAGGCATTAGTAACTATCTAATTAAATACTCCAGATCATTGGACATTTACTAATACAGAGCAGGGGAAAAAATCTGGAATCTGAAGTTTCTTTTTGCATGGTGAGACAGGTTTCCACAGTTCCATGGACTGATGAAGGGCACGAGCCAGGGGGTTTCTGCCGTGCTCTGTCAAGAGCCTCTCTTGACAGTTGAGGACAAATGGACACACACACAGGTTAATAATGTAGAAATTGCATAAACCAGAGCTCAGTGCTCTGGTGGGTGCCTGAAGCAAGGTGTGCCTGTTCTTCCTTCCAGTTTTGTAGTTCCTCTGTGCATATTTTCATGGTGCTTGGCATATGAAAGTCTCGGTGAAGAGCAGCTGCTGCTGCTGAAGAGTTCCTTTCATGATTTCTCCTCTGTGGGGCCAAGTGCTTCCGTCCTCCTAGTGCAGTGGAAGGCTTTTGGGAATTTGAGCCCCCTCCCCCACCGTTGCTGCTGTTGTGGAAGAAGGGAAAAAGCTTGTTATGTTTCCACATATCTGCATTTCTCAGGGCGATGGGCATCTCCCAAAGGGAAATGCAGTGGGGCATAGGGGTGGGCCTGAGAACAAAACAGAAAAACAGCTCTAGGCAGTCCTTGGTCCTCAGTAAACATCACAGCCTGTCCAAGACACTGTGCTGCCCTGGGCCATGTGTGCTCACATTGCAGCATGCTCCAGAGCTGCATGGCGTCAAGGTATCTGAGTATGCCAAGGAACCAGTCTTTGGGATTGGCCTCCTGTCTCACTGAGTTGTACCTGCAGCTGCACACAGTGTCCCCAAGTGCCCTTTGAACAAGATCTGTACATTTAAGGAAATAGCACAAAAATATGGTTTGTGAAGCTCTGCCACTCCCTGTGGGGGGCAACAGTTGTCCCCTCAGTGGCTGCATCTAAGTGGTGCTGAGGGCTTTGAGCAAACCTTTATTGGCGGGGCAGAAAGGTCCACAGGGGTGGACTAGGTTTGTTATGGAGCTGCTCTTCTAGAGGCATCTATTTGGAAGCTGCTCCCATCTCTTGTTTTAAGTGCCCTCTGTGTAGTTCAGACCTTTGGACTTGCTGTGCACAGGGGGTCCGTGAAATATATTTAAAGCAGTAAATAGCTTGACATACAAGGACATTTTTTCCTCAGAGTTCCAGTCAGTGGAAATATGTAATTTTCAGCTAAAATTAGACTGGCTGCAGCTATATGAAGAAAAAAAAAAAAAAAAAAGCCCTCAAGAATTAAACTCTTGTCAGATATAGCAGCTCCTAGCAAAAATAACTCAGGATCCATCCAGCACAAACTGTGTCCAAAAGTCTGTGATTTGGAAAGTTGTGAACTGTTGAAGAGGGAGAGAGGGAGAAACCGACTTTATAGGCAGAAAAGGTTTTTCTCTTCCATGTAAGAAAATATAAATAAGTTTAGAGAATACTAGTAAATCTTTCAAAAGCCTTAAATGAAATCTAGGAGTAGTTTAAATTAATTCTGCAGTTAATGTTTTACAGTTCTTGACAGTACAGTGAGATTGGATGGCAGAGAGGGAGTTGAAATCAGAACAGTATTCTACTCATTGCTTCCATAAAATTTGATATTACAGATTTATTTTCATAGAAGATGATTGGGCTGAACCTACAGCTACCAGCATATAAAAAAGAGGGTAAATTTTCTTTTGTACTAAAAATAATCTTAGTCCTGCAATCATTTGCCTGGCTGCATTAAACTCTAAACACAAGTTAAAGTGACTGGATACTTTACAATATCCATGGTCCAACTCTAAAATGAGTGGAGTGGATAGTGCGGAGGAGAGGCTTGGGCCCAAAATAAACACTAAAAACCAAACAGAAAACCACTGAAAATTAACTACACATTTTGAGTGATTTCTCTTTCAAAACATTTTATTGAAGGAACAATGGAAATAGTGTGTGAAGCCTAACCATGTATTGTGTTGCTGTTCCAGGCTTCATCAGGAGTTTCTTGATGTTTGGAAAGTTGTGAGACCCACCCTGTTGGACTACTTGTAACCAGTGCCTAAGACTACAAAAACGTACGTGTGAAAGAGCCTCTCTTCCTTCTTCCACTGTGTCCATCACAATACTGTGGAAACTCCGTGCAGGCCTTGCAAGGCAGGAGAACAGCTTGTGCTTCCATTAACGCTCGTGCATAATCTCTGCTTCTTATGCACTCCAGCACCCCTATCAGTTCCTTGTTCTCCTTCACCAGCCCTGCAGTGAAAAGGCTGCTGGGCTGGAAACAAGGAGATGAAGAAGAAAAGTGGGCAGAAAAAGCTGTTGATTCCTTGGTGAAGAAGTTGAAGAAGAAAAAAGGAGCCATGGAAGAACTGGAGAGGGCTCTGAGCTGCCCAGGTCAGCCCAGTAAATGTGTCACGATCCCACGTTCCTTGGATGGGCGGCTGCAGGTGTCTCACCGCAAGGGGCTTCCCCACGTCATATATTGCAGAGTGTGGCGCTGGCCTGACTTACAATCTCACCATGAGCTGAAACCACTGGAATGTTGTGAGTTCCCTTTTGGCTCAAAACAAAAAGAAGTGTGCATCAATCCCTACCATTACCGGCGGGTGGAAACACCAGGTAATTATGTCATCTGCAAATGATTTGCATCTCTGTGTTAGCTCTTGGTCCGGCAGGTCTAATCTTGGTGCATCCTACAGCAGTGCTCTGAAATGTGAAAAGGCAGGCTCCATCTGATGGAAGGATCTTGGGTCTTACCCTGCCTGCTGCTATCATAGCTCCGGCAGCCAGGACTAGAGAGGAAGTAAGGAGCCCCTCTCCCATTGGGATCTGCATCCCATCGGACCGTGAGGGCACCCGGATCTTGTCCAAGGTGCTGAAAGCAGCTTCCTCTCCATGAGCATGGGTGCTGAATCCTCCCATCTGAACTGGTGGCATGAAGTCTGGGCACCAGCCTGGCCTCACCACCATAGTGAGATTTATGTCTCATTGAAAACCAGGAAACACTAGCTCTCTCCTTAAAGATAAGAATTGCAGTAAAATGGCATATTTTGCAGTCAATATGAAACCAGGTTAGTTGATTTTTCCTAAAATACCTGGTGGCCTGCCTTAGGTGTGTTTGGTTTACCTTAATGGAGAGTTTATGTCAAATAAATCCACCAGGTTCCCATAAAAATTTGAAATTTTCTACTGATAATCCTCTTTGGATTGCACTAAAAATTTACGACCTCATTGAAAGGTCTTTATGTCAATGAAACAGCTGTTAAAAAAATTTAGTGTTCAGTGCTGACTTCTATAGGGATCTTAGAAAGCAGGGCTGGCAAAAGTCTTGAGCAATCATCCTGTTTTCCTCTGTCCAGACTCCCAAACCAAAACAAATTACCAGGTACGTTCCTGACAGATATTTTCCTAATGAGCTCTAAAAATCCCATGTGATAAAGGCTGTACAATCTCCCCAGGCAAGTGAAGCTATTGCTTTGCTATCCTTACAGTTCAAAATGGTTTCTAATGTCTAACCTAGCTCTCCCTTACTGCCAAAAATCATGGTAATTTAATTTACTAATGGATACAGTTGGTAAGTGTATACTTTTTATTCTGAGATTACTCCTTGTCTGGCATGAACTTTACTCTGAGGTGACATTAGGATCAGATAAGTGAACTGTGGGATGTTTCTTTTCACAGATGAAATAAGGGAAAGACATTTGTTAACATTTGTTAACGAGGGGCTGCTTCCTTTTCTGATAATCCTTCTAGTGCAGCAGAGCTGTCACTGTGAAGTTGTATCTGATCCGCTGTAAACGTTGTCAAAACTTTTATATTTTACAGCTACACTGAGTGGTGCTTATTGTCAACAGTTTTCAGTGGAATGAGCTGATCTCATGCACTGCTAAAGTAAACTCTTCAATAATTTAAGAAAAGATGCTCATAAAATATCCCATTTTTTTGTTTATTGCACTTCTTTATTTGCCGGCTGCAGTCTTTAGTGTCTTCTCATTTCTTCTGGTGTTACTTCGGTGCAATTAATGGAGTCTCCTCAGTGCAGAGGCTGACAGCACTGAACGGTGCTGATTTCAACCCTGGTTTTCTCATCTGTTCAGTGCCAGCTAACAAACACTGCTAATGGAATTGTCCAGCAGCTGTTAAATGGCTGTCAAAGCTTCTTGTTCTGATCCTGAAACTCAGAGGCTTTCAGCTGTGAAGATGTCTCTATTTTTTGCGCAGCACACTGGCAGTATCTCTGCTAGTAAAATAGAAGAGGGGACAAGGTGCAGGTCTGGGTACTGATGCATTGGTAACATGATCCCAGAAACAGCTTTCACCCACGTGGACTTGCGTGAACTAGCAGCTCTCAGAGTGCAGGGGTTAGCCCACAGGAGGGACTTTGGGCACTTTGGACTTGGCCACGTTGTTTTGGAGGTGAAAGTGATTGCAGCTGTGAGGATACAAGCTGTGCTGTGCCAGTTCTCCACAGGACCCAGGAATTGTTCTCAGGCTGTTGTATTCACTCCTACAACTCTGCTTACAGGGGCAACTCAGAAGCTGAAGCTCACAGCTATAGGATATATTTGTATTGTATAGCAAAGAGTGCAACCCACTCAGGTGCTCTGGGGCAGCAGCAGGAGAGAGAACTTGCACTAATGCAAGTGGTGAGATGCAGCTCCAGTTAGAAAGCAGTGCTGCTGTGGACAGGAGAATTTTTGACTTAGACAAACTGATTGCTTTCATGAAGCCTGAGTGGGACTAAGATATGATAGCCTCCCAGGTGGAAGACCGCCTGATGGCTTCACTGTTGGCCATGTGCTTGGGAGTAGTCCTGGGCACAGGGAAGAGATGTATCTTACTGGAGAGCGGTCTCCAAAAGTAGTAAACTATGCAGAGATGGATTAATGTGTGAGAAATCGCAGTGTGGATGTTGTACCTGAAATTAAAATGAGGCAGGTAGGTTTGCTTGCTAGCATCTGAAGTCACAGGCACAGCCAGGTTCCCAGCAAGAACTGTTGAAGCTAAAGGGAATGGGAGAAAGGTATGAAAAGCAGTGACAGGACTTAGGACATGACCATATTTGTCTTCAGTTGAACAAAGATCATCAACACTTCAGCATGCATAGAAGGAAGGATCCACCTCTGGCTTTTGGTGGACAGTAGCACATAGAAGAAAAGGACCCCAATGAGTGGAGAATATGTGGGTAGTTCATGAGGATAGACAGGTCCCAACACACCCAGTTACTCAGTTTTACGCCTCTGGTTACATTTGCTTCAGAGCGGTTGAGCCCTGGAGAGTGACATGTTACCAAAATAACAAGGAGAACGAGGCCCTGGGGGTACTCTAAGCCACAAACAAGAGCTCTCTGAACGCCTCCCCACCACAGAGACTTTAGCCCTCTAGGCAGTCACAGAACAGTCAGTGGAAAGAGTGAGTGAGGTGGCAAACATGCTATTCAGCAGAGCAGAAATTAAGAGTGCCATGGTCAGAGCTGGGAAGGAGTTCAAGGCTTGAAAATTCTTCCTGCTGACTCACTCAAGGCAAATCAAAGGCTTTCCCTGGCAAGTGCTGTTCACACATCCAGATTCTCAGCTTTCATTTAGAGGAGGAGTTGAGTTCTCACAGGGCTGAAGGAAGCAGCTCCCTCAGCTGTGGTACCCACAGTGAGGTGTCAGCCTCTCAACACTGCACAGTGTTGCTGCACACAGCTGCCCCTTGCTCAGCACCTCTGCTGAGTGCAAAGGGATCCCCAGCTCCTCATTTTTGAAGGTTGCCAGTCAGAGCTGGCTGATCAGCAGCTGACCTGACAAGCATCATACCAGCTTCATGGAGCTGCTGAGGAAAACTCCAGAAGCAGCAACAGCTCACAGCCTGGAGCTCTTCACAGGAGCACAGGATAGGAGGAATACAGCTCATCAAAACCATATCTGCAGTGATGGTACTGGTCTTGTCCCAGTATATAGCAGTTAAAGAGTTTATTCCTCTCCACTGCCTGTGAAGAGATTCACAGGGGACTGGGCAGTGCATGCCAGATGTGAATACTTGTATTGCTTGTATGAGTCCTACCTGGATGTTTAAAGCTCAAAGAACAGTAAAGAAGCAGAAATACCTTTCTCTACCAAACGACTTAAGAAAGTGGCAGCAGACTCTTCATGCCACAAATAGGGGCATATGAGAGGCTGAAGGAAAGAAAGTAGTCTCTAGAGCACCAGTCCTTGTCCTGGCCAGAGGCTAATTAGCAATGCATTGGGCCAGAGAACCATGCATTTGTGGTGTTTTAACAGGTATCCCAGTGCCTGTGTTTCCAGGCAGGTGAGAAGATAACTTCTGCAGTGAACTCCCTGCCATCAGTCCAATCTTTTGCATAGTGCTAGGGCTCAGTTCTTCAGGTCATGGGTGACTAGCAAATTCCTAGGGGTATATTCCAGTGGGTGGAAGACAAGTTGTTTAACCCTGCCTCTACTGCATGGTGCTACATTGAGCAAGAAGCTGTAAACCCTTTGTTAGTACTGTAAATGTCCCAGCTCTCTGAGCAACTGATGTGCATTCCAAGCAGAGTTCCTGCAGCCTCTTCTCATGCATATGTTTTGCATTATCTATACATTATTTGCTTTATTCAATAGCAATTATTCCACTCTTTCATTATGCTGGATAAATGAGAGTTTGCTGTAATTAAAAGTTGTTAGCTAACCTACCTAAAAATAATTTGCCTTACCTAGACAGATTTTTAGCCCAAGCAATATGTTAAAACATGTTCAAACTGTATGTTCCCATCAACATTTAAAAACAAGAGCATGCATTGCTATTTGTTTACATAAACTAGTAAGGATAGACTGGAAGGTGATGTGCTGCTGGGTTTTAGGCCAGAGGAACTCTGGATACTAGGTTAGTCAATACAAGCCTGCTGAATTGTCCCTGATGCTGGGACAATTCATTCTTCTCCAATAACTCAAATTGCCTCCTTCTTTGGTGGCTTTTACGTCTGCATGATACCAACTGGGAATTCATTCCCCCTACCTGTGTTAGAAGCCTTAATGAAGATAATTAGGCACTATGTGAGCTAGTAACCAACAGAGAAATCCTGGGGTACAGGAATCACCCATGTAGGGACTGCTCTCACCACCAAGGACTATGGAAGACACAGTTAAAGCCTCAGGTTGAACTCTTATATTAAAAATTAGTCAGCAAGCCTCTTTGTGTTCCAGCCCAGGGTTAACATCTTCATAGGTATCTCACTAGTCAGGATTTTCGAAGTGTTTTAAATCTTAATTCTATTCTTGTTTTTCATATGTCCAAAGTAATTTGGATCAGCTTTGGGTTTCTCATAGGGGCTATGCTGTTATCAGCACTGACAGTGTGGGATGAAAATTAAGAGAGTTTGCGGATAGGCAATATCTTCTACTAGCATAATTTTTAAGTGGGTTATTTTGGATTTCAGTTTTCTGGCCTGCATTTTTCATGTCTTAAGTAACAACCACTGACATATGCCTTCTTCTGCTTGATCTTTTCTAACTATATTGCAAGACCTAAATTGATATTGCTGCAGTGTTTGAATTGCCATTTACATTTCCTTTCAAAGATCCAACTGTCTGTCTGGCAGCATTTTCAAGTACTCGACAACATTTTAGGTCTGCTGTCTGGCTTCATATCGGTACTTCCTTTTGCTCATCTGTAACGCGCTGGTAATAAAATATGCAGTGTATTGTAGAGCACTATTAATTGTTATTAAACTTGGCTGTGAATTTGGCACATCCTGGTGATAATATTTAGAAAACTTCTGATGTGTTCAGTTTTTGAAGAAGGGAGAAATAGGTAACTTTGAAAGGGAGAGATGTGCTGTACTTGTGAATTTTATGGTACCTTTCTCAAGTCAAGATTCCTCATTTTGCATGTGGAACTGCTGTAACTGGCTGCAGATCTAGACAACAGTGTCCAGGAATTCAGCTTTTGATTCTTGGGTTTGGACAAGTTTGTTACTCTTCAATGACTTGTATATAGAGACCAATATTTGAGCAGCATGGAATATGCCTCTTTTTAACTTACAACAAGATATACTTTCAAGAGCACAGTTTAACCATTTTTTCTGTTGTTTTTGTTTTCAGTGCTACCTCCTGTACTCGTTCCAAGACACAGCGAGTTTAACCCTCACCTCAGCCTCCTTGCCAAGTTTCGAAACACTTCTCTGCACAGTGAGCCACTGATGCCCCACAATGCCACTTATCCAGATTCTTTCCAGCATCCTCCGTGCACCCCTTTCCCATCATCCCCCAGCCACATGTTCTCCCAGTCACCTAACAGCATCAGCTACCCCAACTCACCAGAAAGCTCTTCTGGACCGGGAAGTCCCTATCAGCTCATGGGTAAGAATGAGCTTTGGGACACTCTGAGGCATTTGAGGTTGGGTGACAATTCTGTGCTCCCCCCAGACTGTAGCTGCAGATTGAACTGTTGGATAGAATGGACTTGGAATGTGATTTCTTGTGACTGTCTCCTGTATATTGTCTCTCAGTCCTTCTGACAGATGCTCAAGAGATTGAGAACTATAGTAATCCTGCTCCTAGAAGTGCCTGGGTGAGATGTCATGATTACTCTGGGGAAAAATCTGAGGAGAGAAGCAGGTGTGGCAGAAAAGAGCACTTGCAAGACCTAAGTTAGGGACCTAGAATGGTCAGGGTATAAACTTTTAGAAACTCCATCAAGGAGACAGGATAAAATGGGGAAACTGGTGTCCAGAAAGTTTTTTAAGTTTATGGCAATCCTACTGACTGTATAAATTTCAGAAAGTTAAGGTGTTTAACAATCTGGCCCAACACCTGGAGAAGTCACCAGGCAAGTTCCTGTGACTTTGGAACATGTTCCACAGTTCTGAGATTAGCAGGTTTATGTCGCTCAGATTGTTTGTGTTGTGAACTCCTGACTTAGTACAGCTCTAATTACCTGAAAATTTAATTGTGCATTTGCTGTTAATGCAACACAGCTAAGAGCTAGTTTTCATATCAAAATATGGTAACTTTAACTTTCAAATAGTTTCAGTTATGGCAGCTTTTTCACAAAGATAAATTCAGGTCAGAATCTTGTAATTTAAGATTTTAGTGTCTCAGCTATGAAGCATTTAAATTCAGGTCCTTAATGATATGCCTATTTCATTTTAAGTGCAAGATGTTTATTTTACAAGGTGTCTGTAGCATTTGAACTTCCTTTTAAGCTGAACACTTTCAACACAGTGTGATGCTTTTCCTTCCCTCTTCATTCATTGAATGTTCCTTCATTCATTTCTTCTCTAGATCTGCATTTCTGAGTAAATCATATTTAGCAACACTGAAACATTTCATCAAGTAGCAAGACTTGTTTGTCTTCTCCAGTATTTTTCTTTCACCTGTGTGTAACTAGGCTGGATTCAGTGGAGCTGGTCTTGACAGGTAAATCAGGCCCATTCCAGCTGTGTAATGACTCTGACTCGTGCATTTAACTGAACCTGGAACCTCGCAAAGCTACTTAATAATGGAAGTGGCTCAACCTGAGCTTCAGTATATCACAGCACACAGCATACTGATAAGCATAATTTGCCTGTGTAACAATCAGGGATGAAAGGCTAAAGCAAACTGGAGTTACATCAAGAACCTATAGAGGGATTGCTGTGACCACATATAGATGTAGCAGGTTCTGCATCTCATGGAATTGTCTATACTCTCCCTGTAACCAGTGGAGGAAAACAGACACTCCTAGAATAAGATTCATTGCATCTTCTTGTATGTGTCCAATACACTGTGTCTGCAGGTTCCTATTTTTCTTTAGTGGATATAAGGAGATCTAAATGGGACTAGCTTAGCAGTAGACATCAAAAATATCCATATGACCATGTGATTTGGGGATTATATTCCTTTCTATATCCTATTTTCTCTCCCACTATTTCTTGATTTTGTTTTACTGTTTTTTGTTGGAAGGTTATGTCATTTAAGTGCTAGAAATATCATATAGTGTATGAAATTCCTAGGCATTGAACAGTGCTTTACTAGAATAGAATAGCATGGCTTACTTGTAAGATGCAGTGGTTGTCTCTTGATACAGTTGACAGTTATCCACTCTGGGTCAAGTTGCTCCATTTTGATGGCCAGCCAACAGACTCCAAACACAAGAAGGAATTTCAGTCTGGAACCAAGTTAAACCATTCTTAAAGAGGCCCTTGGTCCTGCAAGCTTGTATATGACTATAATTTTCATATAAGCCCACTGAATTTTTGTTCAAATGAGGCAAAACTATACACTTTTAGTGCTTCTGCACTGAACGTTTTCATTTTATAATATGAAAATTAATTCCTTTTTAATTTAACTTTCTAAGGCCTCCAGCCTTTCTGGATAATCCCCACTGTAGAGTAACCTTCTGTTTTCTAGCTCATGGTGTTGTAAATGAAACAAATCAGGAGCTGAGCAATTGTGACTTGATACTTTTCTTCCCAATGTTTTCATGACATCTATTACTCTTTGATGGGAGACTGAACAAACCAAGAGAGGGACAGACTTCTCTTCTAGAACAGAGGAAAAAAGAGCAAATCCAGAGGGAGTTTTGTCAAGTCTGATTTCTATAGCTTTCTATAGGCTTTTTTTATAGATTATGAAGAAAGAGAGCTTCCTCCCAGAGGATCAAACACAGTTAGGTTTTGCTCTTAAATCATCCTCCTCAAGTTTTAAATTAAAGACAGAATTCTGGAAATAACATATGAAACTGCATTACTTTCTTAGGGTAACAACTGGTGTTAATAGAGACCTTGATTTTACATGGGTCTAAGCCTGAGACACTGTTGTGACCATCCCTCTCTCTTTCAAGCACTGCATGTCCAACATGACAGCTTTTCCTTCCCATCTTTGCTGAACATGCAATGGTCTTAATCTGGAGACTGAAGGGAGGTCAGATTCAGTTTTGTGCTTTTTCCAGTCTTCTCAAGCCAAACAGTACTGAAGTAGTAAAATACTCACCAGGAAAGAAACAGGAGGAATATACCAATATGCTGACTTAGGTGTCTTCCTTCCTTTCTTTCTCCTTTCGTTTTTCCTTTCTTTCTGTAGTGGAAACTCCACCTCCACCCTACCATGCAAGAGAACCTCCGGGAATCCACAATGGACGGTCAATGGATGCAATAGCTGAAAGTCAGCTCGTGCTGTCTTTGCCCAGTGGAGGTAAATCTGCCGATGGAGAAGCTGAAAGTAAATAAACATTTGTACTATTCTTTAAATAAAAACTGTTCAGAAAAAAAATTGTTTAAAAAAATTGTTATTTGCACAAGAAGGGTTAATGATTGTAATAATAAGTTTCAGGCACTTTTGCAGTAAGGCTATGTGCTAGACCCATCCATTAGCTAGCAGCATAGGTTGATGTAATATTTCCATGAATTATGTACAGAGTTACAGAATTTAGACCTTACTTGCATCCATGGACTATTACAGTTAAAAAGCTGTTAATTCAAGCAAACACTGTTATCTACATTGTAAAGATAAACATATCAAATCAGGGATGGTGGGGCAATATAACACACAAAAACAGTATCAATATCGAACTCTTTATCACCTTCAGCTATAGGTTTCAAGCACTTAAAAGCCTGATGGTAGGGACCTTTTTACTGCCATCTTTGTATTAATGTTATGGTACTGAAAAGAAAAGGACATGTTCTAGTGGAGTACAAGGATATTTTGACAGAAGACCAAAGTCTTTGTCATCTTATAAGAATTCTTTAGTGGGAGAGGCATTAATGGTCAAAGAAGGGGTCCTGCTTGCACCCCTCAAAGCAACTTGATGACCTCTCCAGCACGGCCTCTGCTACCTTTGGACTAGTAGTGGCTAATATTGATGTCCCTACCATTCAGAGCCCATTGCTGCAGAGTTGGAAGGGGAAATGGAGTTCCTCTGCTGGCTTTTGCATTGGCTTCGTCCTACTGCAATGAAAAATCACCATTGTTCTTTTAGTCCATCATATTGTGTTCCTAAAGAAATGTCATTTCTAGAATGAGAACTGAACACTGCGCACACGTGCACATTAAAAAAAATATTGCCAGCCTTCTGAAGCAGGGAGGAGTGTGTATGTAGCATGGAACTGGAGCAGAAGGAATGTGAGGGGGTAGTGCTAATTACGGTTGGGGACACAGAAGGGCCGGGTAATAACAAGTTATCAGACACCAATACTTATAAATAAATTGTCAAGCTAGTTTAATCTCTTTATCACAGCCTACCATCCCTGATCACTATCCTAGTGAGTATTAGTTGAAGTTCACTAGAGGTTATGCACAGAGGTGCTCTGGGGGCAGGTGGGCTCACATGCCTGTGGTGAGTAGGCAGGATAAAGTTTCCTACTAATTCCTGTAGAACAAATGAGGCTCAGAGATTCTGTTACATTTTGGAGTCTTTCTCTGTCTCTGACTTAGAAAACCTGGGCAGAGATAGATCCAAAAGTAATGACCTTGCTGACATTTCTGCTTACAGTCCCACATGGAAGCGGAAAGCCTGAAAGCATGCAAAAAATTGGAGTGATTTATTACTTCTGAACTGCAGAGTTTGGTATTAGGCTAAAGGCCTAATACCAAAAACTTGGCTCAGTTTTGACTTGCTTTGAGCCCATCTGTCATCCCTATCTCCTGCTGGTGTGCAGAGCAGATATATCCCTTACTATTTTCAGTGTATAGTTCAGGCCCCAGTTCAGCGAGGAATGTCAGGGTGGTTGATTTAATGCTCTGGAGTTTCCACCTTTAAGAAGAAGTGGAGGTCCTTGAGGCTTAGAGTTAAGCTGATGCACCAACCTTTTACATGTTTGGGACTTTAGTTATAAAATCAAGAAGCAATGGAAGCTGCTGTTGGGATTAAGTATAAAAGTGACTGTTTAGATGAAGAGGTGGGGGACTGGGAGTGGGAGGGAATGAAAGAAAGTAGAGAAAGATTGTTTTTAAAATATTACTGAAACCTGAGCAGCTGCTTAACTTTATTTCCTACAGACTTTCGGCCTGTTTGTTATGAGGAACCCCAACACTGGTGCTCAGTTGCCTACTATGAACTCAACAACCGGGTAGGGGAGACTTTCCAGGCCTCCTCTCGAAGTATCCTTATAGATGGATTTACAGACCCTTCAAATAACAAAAACAGGTTCTGCCTGGGTCTGCTCTCAAATGTAAACCGTAATTCTACTATAGAAAACACCAGGAGACACATAGGAAAAGGTAAGAGGAAATCCCCTCTCCTCAGGAAAAATATTCAGAGCTCAGAAGATCCATGCATTGCATTAACTAACCTTGCTGAGTCATCAGATGTGCTTGCCTTAAAATCAAAGCTCTGACATTACTTCTGAAATAGAAGAAAAGCAGAGGATTCTTTTCTGACTGGATAACAATCAGCAGAGTAACTCCTTACAAAGGCTATTTACTTGGCCAGCAAAGAGAAAAATGTTGTTTATAGTTGTGTGTTCTAATTTAACATTATGTATTTTCATTTTATTTATTAGAGCTTCTGGCAACTGGGAATATTGCCATTGAAATGCCACTAAAAGGATAATTGCTGGTGCCTCAGGGCTGCTTCTCCTCCCACCAAATAACAAAGGGAGATGGATGAAACACTTAGTCGTTGAGTTACTTAGCTGAAGAACTCTGGTAGAATTGTGTTTGTAGCTTCCCTTCCCCCACCAGTCTGATTCCCTGCTTTGTCAGCTTTTCACTGGTAAAACGAAGATTTGTGTTCTCCCACCAGTGGCTGCTGGTGCAGCTCTGTGCTCCAGCTCAGGTGTACATACACCCTCAGCATGCAGTGTGACATACTGCTGGTGCCAAGCACCAGGAAACCACACCTGGACACGCATGGCCACACACACTCCATCCCAGCTCCCCAGGGCTGTACATGTAGGGTTTGATATTCTCCCAGAACCTACTGTTGTTTGTGGTGGTGAGTCAGAAGCTTTGTGCCAGCCACTTCTCCATGCAGATGAAGCTTTGCCTGTTCTGGTATATCCAGTCTAGACTCATTATCTTGCCAACCCAGCCTCTCACCCTTAGCTGCCTGGGAATGCATTTCCCACTGGGCTAATTAACTCTAATTGTTCTACTCCTATTATCTTGTCAACCTCACCTCATTTCCCAGACCTAGAGCAATATTTTAATTGGCTCTTGATAGTCTAGTGTTGAGTGACTGAATATGAGGAAGCTCTGAGACAAATGTGATACATTTTTTGCAAACAGCAGTGAACCTGAGGGCTGGAGCAGGCAATGTTGTGCTAAGCTCTTGCACTTTTCCCTGGAATGAAAAACACTTACGTTGCAGACGCTACAAGTGTGTGCCACAATGGTTCATTGAGCGGAGCGCAAATGTGTTGTACATCTAGTTCTAACTTACTTAGAAAATAAAGCAAAGCTTTGCATCCTAAAGCTGTCAGAAGGATTGCAGATCAAAGCTGAGCCTGGCCCTTAAGGAAGAATGACAAAAGATCCCAGCTGTCATTTGGCAATGTTACAGTCTGTGACTTTCTGCCCCAAAAGACAGAGACAGAACAGAAATAAAGTTAGGTAAATGCTAATGGGCATCATCCATTTAAATGTGGAGATCTGTCTTAATGGATTTAAAGTCCTTTAAAGTCCTACAGTAGGAATGTACCCAAGGGAACCTGGGAGCAGGTTGCCCAGAGAGGAGCTTAGTATATCAGAGACCCTTAATTTTACTGTTCTTCCTTGTTTATGCAAATCCTAAAAAACCATATACAAGTGGAATACAAGTGGCACCAGTACAGGCCTGCAGAAGAGCACAGAGCAGCTCCAGAAGTGTATAGTTCAAAGGCATGGTGGACAGATGAAAGCTGCTGAAATGGATACAATTGTCACATGTTAATTCGGGAGAAAAAAGAGTGAGTAAACAAGATTAGCTCAGTAGGATAAGGATATGTGATTGAATTGTCATCTAGAGTATCAGCGTGAAACCATTTCCTGGAAATACCACATCAAAGCTAAAAACAATCCAGAACACAATGCAACATCTATGAGCAATTGGACCTGTTTCAGCAGTCAGACTTCAAGGACAAAAAGGGAACTTTTGATCAGTGTCAAAAAGATTGGATGCTTGGAGTCTGCTGAATTTTCAGCTTCTGCAGAGGCAATGAAATACCACTAAAACATATGGATCTTTGATTTGGTCTTCTACAAATACGTATTTAGCTGCTTGGTTTAGGGTGTTATCCTCTGGTGAATGAATATTAGAATAATACAATACACACTGATTAGTGTTGTATTTATTGCTCTTAAAGTGTTCATGAGAAAAAACCAATTTGTAATCTCTGCTTTCAGAAATGACATTGATATTTTTGTTATTGTAGCACAATGTTTGGGCAATGCCTTTGAAAGCATTTATTTTTCAGAAAATGAAACTTATTATACTTTGAAAACCTTTAAAAGTTTCCACCTTAGCATCCCCTGTGGTGACCCTAAGTCAGTAGCTACACCTGAAGATTTGAAATGTGGTGCACATTTATGTCCTTAGTCTTCTCTCCCTATCCTCTGTTGTCACTTCATCTGATTCTTTCAGAAAGCTATATGGACTCCATCAAGATCCTTTCTGTCCTTCCCTTTTATCCATTTCCATGGGAAGGAAGGTTAAGTGGCAATAGTCATGGTGTGCAGCACCCCACAGTGCCTGGTTCATCTGGAGCTGATGCTTTCCTGTCACTGCTGTTCCCAGTGTAGTACCAGGGTGTGCTCTGAGCCACAACCCTGACACTCACAGCTCATTTCAGATCTTGTGGGTGCTCAGAAGTCAAGTGATGGCTTGAAGACAGACTTTAAGGTTCCCATCTGAGTCACCTTGGAAGACTATGGGAGAGTGTGTTTTTTCCCAGATTCTTTTCTTACTCAACCTGCTTTTTCCCATGCCATTCCCACTTCTGTTTAGAGGCTGGTTTTCTCCTAAGGATGTGCTGCTGCCCCTTGTTATGCCTGCAGAATGATGAACAGACTGGGAATACGTAACCAGTCTTTGTTTGTATGTACGACACAAGGAATAAAACTAATTACAGCTGCATTATTACAGCAGTTACCAGTAGCTTTGCAGGCAGTCTACTGAGGCTCTGTGAACATTTGTGTGTGTTTGAAGGGCATACCTAATATTAGAGAGGAGGATTTTATTTAGTGGTGGCTTTTACAAGAGCAAAGAACTGAGTTGTTTCACCTCTTTTGGCCATGGGAAGGGTTCATTTCCCCTAACCTAGCCATGGGAAGGGTGACTGGGCATTTTCACAAGATGACTTGTCCCCCTTCAGGTTGTGGCTTCATGCTCACTTGTCAAGAAGTCAGAATCCCCATTGCCACATTTGTACTGATGAAGAGCTCACAAAATCTCACTGAAAATAAATTTTGGGTTGTTTGTTTTTAAGTTTATTAGCTGGTCCAGTTCCTCAGCCTGGACAGCAGCCCGATCCTCAGCTGTTGTTGCCAGCATGAAAGCAGGTGTGTCAGCAGGGGAATGGAATGGGTGAGCCTTTTCAGCACCTGCACAGACTTCCATGGCTTTAAGCTGGCTCTGAGCCTGCACTCTGTAGCAGATGGAGTGAATCACAGTGCCTCCCTCTGTCTACCAGCTAGAGAAGGCATCTACACAGTTATTATCTTACAGATGATCCCCAAATTCAAGGTTGCTGAATTAGGCTAAGATAAATTCTCCCACCAGTTCAGGTATGTTTTCATGCAAGCAGATATCCTTTGTGGAGCCAAATCTCTGAAGGGATAGAAGTGCTTCCACCTTAATTTCCCCAAGTCACAGTCAAAATTTGGGTTGGTATTGGCAAGTCACTTGGGCACTGAAGGTCAGAAGAAAATCAGTAATTTTCTTGCTAAAAGTCACTTGGGACAGGATCTGATGAGTAAGTCACATCATGTAAATGCAAATACATGGTTCTCATGTGGCAGATAAAGCAAAATACAGAAAAGTATTTTAAGTACACACCATGCTGTGTTTTACATGTATGACAGTAGGATCCTGTAGTAAAACAACAGTGTGCAGTGAAATGGGTCTTGGCCAGTGTGCATTTGCTTAACAGCAAAACTACATTTATCTGTGTAACGCAAAAGTGATTTTTCAGGTCTTGGATAGTTTTGATTGATGTTTAGGATATTGTTGACATGTGTTTGATGTTTATGCATGTGTATTTTGTCATAAAGTACTATGCTGTTAGGTAAAACAACCTGTACTGAGAAACAAAGATCCTGGAAGGATCCTTGTCTTGTATGCCCAAACCAGTAAAATAATTACTGGCATAAAATGTGTTGTGAACAATGGAGAAATAATACGTTTTTTTTTTTTTTTTTCCGAGGTGTTCATCTTTACTACGTTGGTGGGGAGGTTTATGCCGAATGTGTCAGTGACAGCAGTATTTTTGTGCAAAGCCGCAACTGTAACTACCAGCATGGTTTCCACCCAGCCACGGTCTGCAAGATCCCCAGTGGCTGCAGCCTCAAGATCTTCAACAACCAGCTCTTTGCCCAGCTTCTCGCCCAGTCAGTCAATCATGGTTTCGAAGTGGTGTATGAGCTGACCAAGATGTGTACGATTCGAATGAGCTTTGTTAAAGTAAGGATTCTTTGCTTTCTCTTGCATCCTTTGGTGCAAAACTAGATCCCATCAAATCTGTTCCAAGGGAGGATGTAGATACCCAACTTTTGAATTGCAATTCATACTGCTTGTTTTCCAGTATTGCCTTAAACTTATAGGTGCTCAAAATCAATGGCTTTTGTGGTCAACCTGAAAATCTCTTAGATTACAACATTTAGGTGCTCCACAGACTCTCTGAGAATACATAGTGGTGTTACCCCACTGATTGTTAAAAAAGCTCAACTCAAAAGGGCTTAATAGCATATAAATGCTATAGCACACATCTTAGGCAGTTGTGATCTGTCCTATTGTTACTGGTTTGCAATAGAGCTTGATAGGGCTATTGATCTAAAAATAATGTCCTAATTTACAGTCTCACTAGTACCATAGACTGATATATATTGTCTCAATCAAGAAACCCTGAGTCCTTTGTCATCCCTCACTGAGCTTGTTTGCCATCTGCCCGGTCCCTGACAAATATTGTCTTACTTTCTGATGGCACTCACTCTGGCCAGCCACACAACCAGAAGGGCTTCTTACAAGCAGAAGAGAAAACCCAAAAGAACACTTGACCTTCCCTCTGTTATTTGGAAGAGACAGGAGGCTACCAAATCCATTACTGTTCTGATGTCCTTCATATTTGAATTTCACAGTCTGACTGCTCTGTGGGAAATCTATCAGTCTTTGTGGGAATTTCTCAAATCTTCTGAATGGCCTTCTCACCAGAACAAGATCTCTCAACTCCTTTTAGCACTTAAGATTTATTTACATGCCTGTTGTAGTTTCTAACCCCCAAAGAATGGCAAATGTTTCAAGATAGTTTCCAGATGATGCTAGACCAACTTGCTATAGTGCTGCTGGGGAGAGCTGGCAGCAATGTTCAGCCTGCAAACTAGAGCAGTTGTGCCATTAAAAGCTCGTGATCCTGCTAGGTACCAAAAAATGGCTTGAGTATGTTCCTTTGTTATGCAGATTTGTTTTTATACAAATGACTGAATTGAGATTATTGAATTCTCATCTAAGATACCAAAAAGTGCTTGAGGCTTGAGTCCAGTTTCTTTGAGTTCTACACAGCTGATGAGTTGAGTCCTACATATCTTTCTGGTCTAACTTTTTCTAGCCATCCTTGGGGAGCCATCCTAAGACTTCAAGAGCATTAAGAATGCCCTGTAATCTCTCTCAAGAGTCCAAGCCAAAATCTCCATGCCCATGACCATGCTGTTGCTTTGTTCTTAGGAGTGAACTGATACCTTATTCACATACAAGCTTTAGGGCAAAAAAAAAGAAAGCAAGAAACCAAACAAACAGCATTTTCTTTAATGGAAGACATGAATGGGCATGTTGTTTGTAAAGGCAGTGTAGCCAGTTATGCAATATTTTCATTATCTCAGCGATTGAGGGGCAGGCTCTTTGATGTGTTATCTGCCTCCATGCCCAGCATGGCAGCAGAAATGGTGGTGTTGATGCACTATATAATGCTGATGCCATATTATCACCTTGCTCTGTTGAAATAATAGCAGCTATTATTGTGCCTCAGGCACCAGAAGACCAGTGCAAGGAGTTATTTTGAACTCTTTCCCATGATGTCTGGAAAATTGCTATGCAAATCTCATCTAGGCTCTTTCTTCCTGGCTTGCAAATATGCTTTCCTGTATTCAATCTTCCTAAAATATTTTCCTCCCAAGGAGTGAGCCGTCCTGCATTCAGTCTGGGGTCAGGAGTGACCCTGGGTGTTGGAGGTGCAGTGCCCAGAGGGACCTGTTGTCTGTCAGAGCCATAGGCTAAGAGAGACTTCATGTGCAGGGCAATGCTGTGACTTCTCTGCTGACTCATGTCTAGATACTGCTGGTCACCTACAGCCCAAAGGGCTGGAGACCCTGCCTCTGACCCCACCAATGCTTGAGCTACTAGCTGCGAGGCAGGGATAGGTAAGGGACCAAGACATGAGAAACTTGGCTATGTCATCTTTTGGATGCAGGGCATGGGACAGTGGGAAGTGAAGGTCTTGTCCCCTCTGATGCCCTTTGTGTGCCCACAGAGCAGCTGAGAAGAGCTCAAATGTGGGTGTATCATCAATGACAGCAGCTTCCATCCACCTTTCCACAGCTGAGGCAGCCGAAGCACAAAGGAGAGTTTCTCCAAACTGAGGTCTGAACCCAGCTCAATCCCTCCCACATCTCCCTGGGTCTTGGGGCTAAGGGGAACACCCAGCAGACTTGAAAGCTCAGCACTCTGGGACATGGAGCCTAGGCTGGAGAGAGCTGTTGCCCACTGGAGGTGGGAAGTGTTGTCAGGAGCAGCAGGACCCATGGGGGTACCGGTATCGCTTTCCCACCATCTGTGGAAAACACCAGTGCAGCTTTGAAAGTTGTATTTGCTTCATTCCCTCGGTAAGAGAACTCCAGCTCTGGGCTCTTCTTAGTCCTGGGGTGAAGGAGGCTGCCTGCAACCCACGAGTGATATACAGGGAGCATCAGGGTCCTTGCCCTCCTGGAATTTCCCCTGGGAGTGCTCCAGCCTGAGACAGCATCGCTGGGAGTGTTTGGGAATTGCCAGCAGAGGGAGATGGCCAGCCGCCTGCCAGGCTCCCCCAAATCTGTCACATTGTGCTTGAATCCTGTAACTGATGTTCCTCTGGATTATCTGTCCTGCCTGTCAGCAAGGTGTGCCAGCTCCTCTGATATTTGCTCTCCTGGCTGTGTATCTTCACTGCAGCTGAGTACTTGTGACTTCACCATCTCAGAAGTCTGACTGTGCTGGCATTTTATGCAAACATTTACAGAATGTCAATCTGAGGTTCTGTGAATGCAGGCTCTTTCTAGTCTGATAAATGCTCTGCAGTTCAGAAAAATGCTGTCTGTTTGGGCTTTGGTGGGTCCATATCTTACTCTTCTGCTTTCTTTCCCCTTTTCTTCATTAATTAGCATGGATTTTATCCAGACCATTTATGCTGATGTCTCATTTTAGTGTTAATCCTAGTTTTCCAGCTATCATCTAAAGAAGTGGCTGTGCTGGCAGCCACAGTTATCTGAGCTGCTCAGCACTCTCAAGTTTTGTTGACTTTGGCAGCCATCAGTTTTAATACACTTCCATGTCCTTTTTTCATGACAAGAATACCAACCTGCCTGCCGGTCATAATGACAAGTATGATTCAGTGTTTGATCAGCATCACAAATGAAGATCCTCATTCTGTAGTGTGACCATGTTTTGCACATTGCCCTGTGGAAATCTGAGTTCAGTTCTGTCAGTGAGACATCTGGTGAGCTGCAAGACTCTGGGCTGTGACTCACATGCCTTGTGTTGCTGTGACGTCAGGCTGCCTGCTTAGCACTGCTTAGACACTGTGCCTGCTTGAATCATAGAATAGACTGAGTTGGAAGGGATTCATCAGGATCATCAAGTCCAGCTCCTGGCCCTGCACAGCACTATCCCAAAGAATCACACCCATGAGCATTATCTGAACGCTTCTTGAACTCTGTCAGGCTGGGTGCTGTGACCACTTCCCTGGGATGCCTGTTCCAGTGCCCAACCACCCCCTGGGAGAAAACTAACTTAAGCCTGCTCCATGAAGCCTTTTCTAACTTTAGCCTGCTCCTTGAAGCATGGGTACTTCAGGTTTTCTCTTCTCCCTGCCAGCACCCCATCCCCACCTTCTCTCAGATGCTTCATATCCGTTATCTTCCCCAAGAGGGCTGGAGAAATTAATGCAGGACTTCCCACAGCAGACAGCTGGGAACTCTTGTTCACAAAGAGGACATTCAAGGATAGAAAACCTGTGGAAAATTTTATACATAGGCTAAGTATGGTACATAGGAACTCCTGGAAGTTTCCAGAGGTTTAGACAAATACTTAGAAATTCTAAGGTCTTAGAGTGACAGGATGAATCTCTACCAGTACATGAAGCAGTGCCCAGGACCATTCCTAATTCCTATTAATGAAAGAGGCTGGCCTGCTTTTTGTCGGTGCCAGACAGCAGTCTGCCAGACTTTCCTGGGCATGTCCCTGGGGTGCTAACAGGGACCATTCCCCATGGGCTGTTTGCAGCTTGGAAACAGGCCTTTCCATGCCAGTTGTTCTCTGCACCTGGAAGTGTGACTGAGATTTTTAATTTAATAGCATTGAGTCCCTGGTAATTATGATGACAATGACCTTAAAAGAGAGAAAAGTTTCTAGAAAAAATTATCCCTAGGATAAAGCATGAAATCTTGGGAACTTGGGTGGTGGACTATCTAGTTGTGTTAGACTATCAGCACTGGAGTTATGATTTAATGTTTTGGGTTTGTTTTTTTTTTTTTTAAACACCTCACTTTTTGGTCTTTTTATAGGGCTGGGGAGCAGAGTATCATCGCCAAGATGTTACAAGCACACCCTGCTGGATTGAGATCCACCTGCATGGACCATTGCAATGGCTGGATAAGGTGCTGACACAGATGGGCTCACCTCACAACCCCATTTCCTCAGTCTCTTAAGAGTCATCTCTAGAATTCCCTTAGAATGGATGCTATTGCAGGCAGTGGCTTATAGAATTCCCATGAACAGAAGCTTCTCTATGTAGATGTATGTAGATGTAAATATATCTATACATAGTCTACTCTCTTTTTTAATTTTTTTTTTTCATTTTGTGGTTTCTAGTTACTCTGATGCCAGTACAATAAGTTTAGAAATTCAGGTATAGCATATCTGTTCTCTACTACAAAATAAGCCAAAATCCTGCAAAGTGTCAAACATTTCCTGTGAGCATCTTCATTCCCCAGCCAAGCCAGTAAATGGTGCAAATTCCCAACACTTAACGTGGGTTCAGAAACCTGGCTGTAGCTGTTCCTAGCAGGTGAAATTTACCCTTCTGCAAGCCACCAAAGTCAGATCTCTGTGCCGTTTTTATTCATCTTACATCCTGATTTCTAGTCCAGAAGAGGGCCTGAGGTGGTGCACAGGACTTATGCATACAGATGACTTTTATCTAGTGAACTGAAGGACTAAACTGCCATTCCAGTCTGTCTCCCTACTGCAAAACACAATGAGACAACAAATCCGAAGAGCTGATGCACACTGTTTCTCCTGGGATTTGGCAAGAGGAGGGAGCATGTTCATCATAGGAACCTTATCTCAGAGCATTCTGGACAATCTGAGTAATCTGATACTGCTAACATAGTACGGTACGGTACTGCTGCACTGAAAAGCAACACGCTCCTAAAAAAAAAAAAAATTTTAAATATATGCCCATGAGTTAAAAAAACTAATTAACTTCCAGTGCTTTTTTGCAAAGCACATATATACTTGCATATGTGTCCAGCATGTAAACTAAATCCTGTTCATTCTACAGTATTGATATAGCTTGTTTTAAAGACTGTCTGTATTTAGACTGCTGTGCTGATATCAAGGGTACACCTAAAAGGGACTTGAACTGTGATGCAGAAAAGGGAAATTACACGTGAATTGAAGAAGCAAATAATTACTTCACCATTCATCTTGGGAACAGAAAGCCCCACACTCAAAGGATGCAATGGGAGTCAGCCATGTCCATCCCCTGCACTGGGCCAGTCCTTGGGATCTGACAGTATTGCTGGGGTCTGACTGAGAGGGCTCCCCTGCCAGTCACTCCATGCATCCCCATGGATGGTTTCTCATCTTAGGTACAGGCTTCTTCATTTGCTGAGCTTTTGCCTTGCCTGCAGAGGAAGGTGAGGCAGTGTAAGCCATGAGCTAGTAAAGAGTGAATCTATGTGCAGAACCTCATCTGTGTTCCTTCTGTAAGCAGGGAAACCAACTGCCCATACCCTAATTCCATCCTTGCAAAATGCTGTCCATTTGGAAACCTTTCCTGAGAAGACAGGTGAAACTCTTACTACATTTTGATGGTCTTTCCTTTTGATGAAAGAGTCGAGTATTATTTCTTTCCAGGAATAACAGTCCACTGAAAATTGTTTTTACTTAAGGGTCAGAAAGAGTGATAACATCTCCAACATAATTCCTCCATAGAACAAGTAGAAATATTAGTGGGGAAAAAATGTTTTTCAGAATATTTATTCTCACAAAATACCTGGTGCTACACATTTTGTTGCATAATTAGAAGAGGACACCTGAAATCTTCAGCTGTATAACACATGCAAAATGAAATAATATTCACTGGAAAGACAGTGAGTAAACTAACAGTGTTAACTTTATTTGAATGCATCTTCAGCTGTCTGCAGCATTAGCAGGGCACAGAAGGATAAATTGTTGTTAAGTTTGAGCAGTAATAGCAAGTTGTATAGGAAATTTGTAAATGCAAAGAACTCTTTTTCTGTCACCATTTGATGTCAGCAGTGTCAGAGTGAGATAGGAAAAACTTTACAGTCTCTTGTAGCAATGAAATCCAATAACAATAATAATAACATAAAGAAATTCCGGGTGTGCCATTTACTATTTAGCAGACTTTAGAGACATCAGTTTGGAAAAATTCATTTTCCTCAGCTCTCTCTGTCATAAGTGATCAGATACTAGTAACGTTTTTTACCATGTTTATTGCCTGTCTTCTCCAGTTGCAACTTTGCTCTAGGATGAGCACCTTTTGGTTTTGCTCGTTCCTTTTTTTTTTTAGCAGTTAAGGACAGAGTAAATCACCTCTACTGTCCAGGATCTAGTTCTGTCCCTTATCCTAGGTTCTTCCTTGCCTTTTAGGCTGAAGTCTCCTTCCCTTTTAATATAGAGAGAAGCCTAGGAGTTCCTTTTAGACATTCCCAGCATTGTCATCTTCCTCACAGAGAGCAAAGGGAGATGTTCTGAAGTGCATCTGCTCTTGGGCAGCTCCTGAACTCAGTTTCCTGTCAATGCTGCAGAGCAAAATTGGATGGCCAGTGAAGAGAAGCAGCTTCTTCTGGGGCATTATTTGTTTAATCACAAGGTATTTCAAGCAGGTGAAACACACTGCACTCTGAGCATGCTTGTGTTTTCCCACTGAGTATAAGGGGAACTCAGGGTCATTAGCTCAAATGCAGACTGCTACACTGGATGTATCCAAAAATAGATGATGGGAGCCCTAATGAAGGTGTGGTGACTTTCCCAGCCCAGTAATGATGCTTACTCAACAATGGAAGATGGTAATGGAAGATAATAAATTCAGAGCAGTTTTTCCTTTCCTTTAAGTCTACCTTTATAGTAATCATTTTATAAATAGGATTTCGCTTCCATGCAGTCCATACATGTATCTCATTTAAGGTAGTCACTTTAATACTGCCTTACTAGTTAGGCATTTCTGAAGCCTGATTCTTCTGACCCATTTAAAACCCCTGTATTAGGATGAGGTGAATTTCAGCAAATTTAGCTATTTGCTGAAAACTGGATCAAAACACTCGATTCTGGGCAATGCTGGCAACAGCTGTCTGTTTTTAGCCTTTGGAAAGGCTGATACCACTGTGTCAGTTTCCTGTTTTGGTGGTTTTTGGGGGCTTAGCCCACTGTGCTGTGCAAACATGCAGAAGCTGACAGCTCCTCTCTGAAGGCCACAGTACATGGGAAGAGTGGTAACAGTGGATGAAACAAAAAAGGAAATAAGATGACCTCTGCTCAGATGCAGAGATAAAAAGTAAGGCTAATAAACCATTTATTTCCCTTTGTTTTTGAACAAAGTTTCTTTCACAGGCTTCTCTAATATATCTGAATTGAAATCGGTTAAAATTCAGGTTTCTTACAATTTGCAGCAATGTAACTTTGTATCTCTAATGTCTTCTCCACTTTGGAAGGAGATAATTTCTGCTCAAAGGTCTTCATGAACCTTTAAACCTGTAGTCAATTTAAGGTCTTTATAAATGTTCTACTCATTAATGCTTAGGCTTTGGAGACAAGTCTTCCTGAGAGATTTAAAACCACTTACAGCAAGACTACTTAGTTGAAGGCAGATTTTCAAGTGTTTTTTTTTGAGTCATCAACAGTTCATGACAGTTCATCTTTTCTCTTAAAAGTTTCTGTGGAGGAGTACCATGCATCAGCAGGCAGCAGTGGGAGCCTGATGAGGCAGAGGCATAAAGCACATTCAGTATGGTATGTAGACCACTTCTTTTCCTACTAAATAGTCGAAAGAAGATGACTTTATTGCTGCCAGTTCTTCAGCAGCACCAGTATTAATGTGCTGTTTGCATCCAGAGGTGACAGGAGCATATCTCACATCCTGACTGTCTAGAGGCATTCCATGGCACTGCTGCTTGGGTAGCTCAGTCCCATTCCCTTGCCTAGGGAAAGCTGCCCAGGTACAGCCCAGCAGTGGCTGTAGCACTGCAAGGTGCAGCACGTGCGTGCCCTCCCCATCAGCAGCTATTCCACCAACGTGTTTACTCCTCATCATAACGCTTCCTTGAGCTCAGACTGAAGGGTAATGGATCAGAAGCATAAAGGGCAGCTCTGGCCCAAAGTAGCATCAGCTGGAGTTGAGAAAATCCTTTCCATGTCTCCAGCAGGTACTCTGTCAAGACTTTCACTGCCCTAAGCAGCCTTCTCCAAGCAGCCCCTGTCTGGAACAGGGTGTGAGACTTGATGTCATGGTGAGATCCCTTCCAATATACATTATCCTCTGGGTCTTTTTGAAGATTCAGTGATAGCTGGTTGCCACAGGCAGGAGCTCCCTGTTAGCACTTTCAGGATGAAACATGTTTCTCCTTAGCTATTTCATATTAGTGTTCTCTCAGCATAAAATCAGCACTCCAAACATCTCTTGCTGTAAACATAATCTTACCACACCCCTCTTAAAATGCAGAAAACAAGGCATTTGTGACTGTAACCTTATCTAATCTGCTCTTGTTCTTCCTGACTTTCAACACCCACCTTTGTCTATCAGCTCTCCAACTGAATCTCACCAGTGACTAAGAAGTTGCACAAACAGCTGGATTTACAGAGGCAGCTCAGGCAGAGACTTTGCTTCTTGATTGCATGAAAACAATTAATAAAAAAGCCTGATCAATTTAGGAACTTTAAAGGGGTGTCAAGTATAAGACCAATGTTCTTAGATCAAGGCTGCTATGTCACAACTGTAACTTTTAGGAATACTTTAGCACTACATGGTGCTCATCAAAGGAAAGAAACGTTACATCCTCTGTGCTATTCACTTCTTCCCCTGGTTCCCCATAACCTAGCCTAGTACAAGCAAAATCAATGAGTCATAAGGTAATGAAATACCATTTTTCAAAGTTGAGAAGTGCTGCCTAAAATGTAGATTTATATGATGAGAAGGCCATGTATTTATAGGACATGTGGGTATTGGCTTTACTGAAAGAGGGTAGTTTTTGTTAAGATATTAGGCAGGAATTCTTTATTGTAAGGGTGGGGAGAAACTGGCACGGAAAAAGCTGTCCCAGAGATGCTGTGGATGCCCCATCCTCGGAATTGTTCAAGGCCAGGTTGGATGGGGCTTTGAGTAACCTGGTCTACAGGAGGGTGTCCCTGCCCATGGCAGGAGGCTGGGACTTGATAATCTTTAAGGGTCACTTCTAACCCAAACTATTTGATAACAATGATGTCCCAGATACCCACCAAGCCAGCAACAAGACTTCCTTGCTCTGGAGAAACCTGGAGAACAGGCTGTTACTTGAACATCTGAACCCAACCCCTTTTGACTGGAGACCCCACTGAAGGGGCTGAGAAAATTTTTATAGAGGATTTACAGTTTATGGGTGTTCCAGTAGCCAGAAATGCAATGAAATGATGAAGAAACTGAGGAGGAGGAGGGAGCATACAAGCAGATAAGCCCAGTGGTCATCGCAGGAGGTATCAAGGCAGTACATGCTCAGGCAGCCATTCAAGGCCTGTTTTAAGAGCAGCTTGAAGTACCACAATCCTTATTTGGGTTTTTCCTATACACCCAGCCTGAGAGAGTGTGCCAGCTTCCTGATTAAGCCATTTGATACAGTGAGGCAAGTGGTGTCCCATGTGCTCCAGAGGGTGATCTCTGGTTGCATTTGAGAACCACACTTGGAAGATTACCCTCTGCCTCGCCACAAGACTCATGAGGAACTCAGCTCTGGGGCACTGTTCAAGGACACTATAAACACATCCAGTACATGCTCCTCAAAGAAAAATGCATTCTGAACAGAAACCACACAACTGAAAATGTGGACTATATAGCAAGAGAGCATCTAACTTGGGAAGTGTGACAAACCAGCTCATTTCAAGATCAGGTGGGAAATTGCAGTGCCCAAAGGAAAACAGTCAGCAGGAATCTTCATGAGAACTCCTGACTATGAAATCAGGTTCTTAACAGTGCGTAAGGATGGACAAGTGTGCTTCCCTAAGAGCAATTAAGACGTCAAGTTACCATGAAAAAAGAGCTTGACAGAGTTAGTCCTGTCTTGCAGCGAATAGAGAGATTCTGCGAGACTTTAGATCTGTGAATTAAGAAGTTCTCAACCTGGAGGCATTCATTCACTGAAACAAGGTTTGTTCCTCATGGCAGCTCCATGAGTACCCTTCTGCAAGATACAGGAAGCCTGAGTGGGCATTTTAGTCTTTGTTCAGTTGAGAGAAAGCACTTTGTGTCTCTAGGACAGACACACTTCTGCATGTTGGGGACCAGCACAGAACACAGCCTTTTGCCTGTACCCATCATCTATCCATAGGAAGCTCCGGAACAGCCAGGAACAGCCAGAATCCTGTTACATGTTCACCCTAGGGCTTTCCAGACACCCTGCCTAGGCAAGCCTTACACTACATTGCCATACTGAGGCCACATTTCTCTGCCAGGGAGGTTAGGCACATGAGAATCCCAGCAAGAGGACACCTCCACTTGCACCTGGGCCATGCTTGCAAACTTGGTGCCTGTATAGACAACAATTCTAATTTGCAGGCCATGTCTCTCATGCAAGGTAGACATAACCACTATGTCCTCCAGAATCAGCTACTCTTCCATTACAGTCAATGTGAACATTTGCAGCTAATTGTGAACACATTTTAGATCTTCATAGTGTTTTTATTATCCTTGGATGCTGCTATTTTATATTCTGTGTTAGTATTCAAATAATATTGCATATGAATAGCATAGGGTGAAATAGACCAACCAGTTAATAATTTTAAATACAGACCTCATCAGCAAAGAAAAGCTAGAGAAAACTTGGTAAAATCTGACCCCTTGCACTGTCATAGTAGTGAGTGAGCACATCATATTTCAAAGTGGTTTATTTGATGCTAAAGTGTGTGTTGTCTTAATAATTCAGTTATATCCATGTGAAGCTTTGCAAACAAGAGCAAGGGAACAAACATAATGATGAGCAGAGATAATGTGCATTCAGATAAATTTTCTTTACTTACTCAAGCAATTGGAGTTTTTAATTATTTATAATACTTTTAAAGTACAAGCTAAATGTACCACAGCCTTTCTGCAGATAAGTAGGTGTTAGCAATTTAAATCTTCATTTCATATCACCTCTGTGATATAAATGGGGTTGAGAAGTGAGACAAGAAAGTGAAGAAACAGGCCTTTTTGTGTGGATCAATGAAGCAGTTAAGTTGCAAAGCACTATGCAGAGGGCTAAAATGGTGGATTTGATCAAGGAGTGTTAACTATGGAGTTGTGTCAACTATGACCTATCAATCTGGTGATAAAAGCACTGTGAGTCATCCATAGATAAACAGAAGTCACTTATGTCTATGAATAACTCTGCACTCTGTTTTTCATCAGAAGCAAAGCAAAACATCTGAACTATCCACAAGTATTACTCATGGTTTGTGACATTCTGTAAACCAGCGTAGGTCACTGTATAAAGAACAATACTTGGGCTCTTGCCTCTGAAGAATGAAAAATCACAGATATAGCTTCAGGAGTGCGAGGGATCTGGGCAGCTCGGAGTCCTCCAACCAGCCCCAGAGTACTCTATTCCATGCCATGTCGTACCAAGAAAGATGGAACGACTGCTAACCAAGGGGACACTTTTACAAGCATTCCTCCTGCTACGTTTGATTTGAGGCATTCTGAAGACAACACATTTATTCTGAACAATACACTTTTTAATGCACTCCACTTTCTTTGGCCAGAATTATTCTATTGTAAAAGGGACTATTCACGTCTTGTGTTTTACTGTTAATAAAGTTATTTCTGTTTTAAGAGCTCCTTCCCTTGTTGTCTCCCATTCTTCTCTTTTAAAGAGATTGGCTGTAGGTCCCGATATGACCACAAGTGATTTTGGGAACTGGAGCATTTAGAAAGCCTTTATTCATGCAAATCAGTCTTAGAAAAGAGGAATCAGTAATTGCACTAAGTAAATAATGGGACACTTGACAAAAGAAAATGTACTGAAAATTAATTCAGCATAAAATCTCCATGTATAGTATATGAATCCCTCACTATTCTGTGATAGATTTGATGATTCAAGAGGATGGTTCAGCTTTCTTTTGATGGGAACAGCTCTGATCTGACAGGCAATCAATGAACAGTGATGCTGCCCTGTGACAGAAGCCCCTGGACCAGACTGAAGTTAGTGGAAGGACAGACTTGCAGCTGTGCAGTTCTTGAACTGCTCAAGGACAAAGAGGGATATAGTAAGAATGTAGTCTAGAGAAGCGTCATGTTTCCTTCTATCTAAAATTCAGATTTTGTTCTGCAATAACAGAAGGCAGTAGACAACATAATGGGCCTCAGAGCTACACAGACAGTGCTGGCTTGGGAATCCCATCCAATCTTCTGACCAAACAGGAGCGCACTGCTACCAGTACATCTCCCACTATCTGCACCAGTCTGATGGTGCTGCTATCACAGACTACAAAAATACAGAATAGGTGAGCTGCATTCTACTGAACATCTCTATGTGTAGCTTAGCAACTGCCATTTGTTTTGACACAGACAACTTGTTCAGCACTGTCTTAACAAACACTCCCTGTGCCAATTTTCTGCCCTGAAGATTTGGGTTTTAAAAAGTTTAATCAGAACTGTCCACGCAAATGAGCTGTTCACCTTTTAAAATTTAACCATTTAAAACAAAATCAAATACATCATTCTACAATTTTTGCCAATTACATTTTCACATATATTCTTATACACTGAAAAGTAACCTGATTATGCTTAAATCTAAAATAACTTGCTATAACAAGACCTTGAAACACAAAATGCATTTAGTCAGAACTGGCTGTTTTAGCATAGGAAGAAAAACTCATATAAATTTAACAAAACAGAAAAGAACAGACTTGTTTTTAAAGAAAAACCAAAGATTTTACTCATGTATTGGTCCAGAACTGTTTATATAAAGTTTTTCAAGTTTTTTTTAAAGAACAATTTGCACAGTGCTAAATACAATAAATCCCTACAGAATAAGTTCTGCACATACAAAAAAGAGAGCTTGTAAAAATCCATAAAACTAACAAATACTGCTGAAGAGATACTATTTAGTGGATCAAACTGCTGCAATATAAAAGTAGTACTTGACAATAAGCACCTAACCCATTTGGATAACCTCTATTCAGAAATGTGGCTTAATACAAAACTATTTTTATAAATAAAACATGGGATTTAACACATAATATAGTGTTTGGATTCTTAACTAAATCAATTTCAAGTTCATTTTAATTGTCATTTTAACCTGCAAAGTCTAGTACTGCAGCTGATTAGAGATCTGTTGTCTTAATAAAAGAATTTTAACTATAACTTTTTGAGAAGAAAAATATTAGATTTTGAATTATTTACTATTATGAGTTAAAAGCTTTAAAATTTAATTTAGTCACTTAAAAATTAGTGGTATTCTAATCTGTAATTAAGTTATATTTCTTATATTTATATAAGAAGTTAGTAATTTCAAATAACTCCATGTAACAAGGTCCAGATCTCAGTTTCATACTTTTCACCTGATACTTTTTAAAGCTTTTTGCCATTTATCACTTTAGGAACTTAAATTTTTTACATGCTATGCATGCATTTCAAACCTACTCAACTTGCAGGTAATAAACGCAGCACCTACTTGTACTTCTCTGAACTGCTGGATTGACTTCCTGATGGCACATTGTCTTTGCCTTTAGTGCAAGACTCTACAGGACATAAATTTCTCCTATCCCTGAGCAATTGCTGTTAGGTAATGCTACTGGACTGGCTCAACTTCAGAACTTTGTTTCACAGTGTCCATAGAAATTAACTGACTTCCATCAATGATTGTCATCAAAGACAAAACTGTAAATGTTTATATAGAAAAATGTTAATTTATTACAATTTTGGTAGAAAAGGGTGTACAACTAAACACTGCTACCATAAACAAATTTTTATTAACAGATTAAATATTAAAATGAAGGTTTACAAATAATTGGAAAAGACTTCCCCAGATTTCAAAGGAAACATCACCGTAACAGATCATGCAGCCAGTGCTACATGGAGTAAGATGATTGATTACATGAGCTCAATTGGGAATTCTGGAAAAATCATGGACTGGCCAGAAGGCAAAGATTTTGGAGCATTGCCAGAGAAGGAGCTTTGTGTACAAGAAGCACCCCCACATAAGGAGTTTCCAGAAGATGAAAGAGACTATGCCCTATTTAGTGACAGTTCCTGCTGTGTGGCAGGAAACCATCAGAGGCGGACAAGTCATTGAGGCTGCTGAAGAAGGTGAGTCAAGCCACTTTGCAGAGGTGAAAGCCACCTGAACTAGCCCTAGAGATTGCTGAACGAGAAAAGCGACCTGTCTCTATCCTGACTCCTGGATGGTAGCTAATGCCCTATGGAGGTGGATGGAAAAATGGAAGACCAATTGGCAACCAAGGGATAAACCCATTTGGGCTGGACTGCACTTGCATTGGGGCAGGACATCAGTGCACATGTTGAAAACATGACTAGAAAGGTATATCAGGGAGATGTTCACATGCCCAAAAAACACACCACTGAAGAACAGGTAGATAAGGCTGCCAAAACTGAATTAACTTAGGTACACTTGGAGTGGAAGGTGAGCTATTTATAACCTGATGGGGCCATGAAACATCAGCTGCAACAGACAGATGAGCTCATCATTGAGGGATGGACCTGACCATGGAGGCCATTGCATAGACCATTCATGAATGAAAAGCATGTGCTGCAATCAACCAAGCCACTGAAGTAAACATTCCCTGGAATAGAGGTCAGCAGCTGGGTTTCCAGTATGATGAGGCCTGGCAAACTGGACCACTGCCATGAACATGCCAAATACATGGTACATACCATGGAAGAGGTAACAACTGGCTAGCTGGCAACAAACCCTGTAAACCATTGCCACTGCTCAAAACACAATCTCGGATCTTGAGAGACACATTTTGTGGCAACACAGTACCCCAGAGAGAATCAAATCAGACAATGGGACTACTTTTCAAAACAACCTCATAAACTCCTGGGAAAAGAAAAAAGGTATTGAGTGGACATCACATCCCTTATCACCCATAAGCCTCTGGAAAGACTGAGTGGTATAATGGACTGCTGAAGACTGTGTTAAGAGTGTTAGGTAATGGGACATGGAAGGATTGGGATATAAATTTAACAAAAGTGACTTGACTGGTTAACACCAAATCTGCAAACCTCCCTGGTCCTGCCAGAACAAAACCCCTACACACTGGGAGGAGATAATACTATACATGGGAAATGGCTGGGAAAATCAGGGTCGATTTCTCTCCCTATAGAAAAAGGCAAACTTATTTATGAGACTGTCTTTGCTCAAATACCTGGGTGTCCTTGGTGGGTAATGCAGAAGGATGGAAGACCCAGTGTGTGCTCCAAGGAGATTTAACCTTGTTGGGGAAATAATTTGTAGTGTAAATTGTTATGTTGCAAAAGTAAAGCACCAAAAAATGACATGAACTGATGAAGCATGAATATTGTGACGAATAAGGAGAGTGGGAGGCACAGGGCCAACATTGGTGTCCAATATGTAAGTGTGCTGCTTCGCCTGTCCTGAGCACTCATCTTGATGGAATCTAACCCAAGTCATAGCCTGATTTTGGACATCTGAATGGGTGGGGGATGCTCTTGAGATGGGAAAATAATACCTATCTGTGAAAGGACAGGGGATAGCAGGTAATGAAAATTTATAAATCTGTATGTCCAGCCAAAGTCTACCCATCACAGCCCCTCTGCTCTGGTGAAAACCCCATCTGGTAGACTGCATCCACCTCTGGAACCCATGACATAGGAAGGACATCCACCTGTTACAGCAAATGCAAAGACGGATCACAAGTTGATTAGAGGGATGGAAGACCTCTTCTGTGAGGAAAGGCTGAGAGAATTGGAATTGTTCAGCCTGGAAAAGAGGTGGCTTCATGGTGACCTAATTGTAGCCTTCCATTACCTGAAGAGACCCTACAGGAAAGATGGGAAAGGGACTTTTTACAAGGGCATGTACGGACAGGATAAAGGGGAATGGGTTCAGACTGGGAGTACATTTATATTAGATATCAGGAAGAAATTCTTTACTGTGAGGATAGCCAGGGACAGGAACAGGTTGCTCAGAAAAGTTGTGTATGTATACCCTGCTCCCCCCCCCCCCCCCACCCGGGAAGCATTCCAGGGTGGGCAGAGCTCTGAGTAACCTGGTCTTATGAAAAGTGTCCCTGTTCACAGCAGGGAAGTTGGAACTTCATGATCTTTCAAGGTCCCTTCCATCTGTTAAGGAATACATCTGGTGCAGGTAGCTGATTTGTAGGCTGTAGAGATGCAGACTGAGATGCAAATTGAGCTCTGTGTGGGAGCTAAGAAAGGAGGCAGTGAACTGCCAACTCTTTGCATAACAAGAGGCATGAAGGTGAGTGGCTAGCCAGGTGAATGGACACAGGGACATGGCAGGAATGGAAGACTCAGAAGTGAAGACTCAAGAGGAAGAGCGAGGCTTGCCTTAAACTGTGATGGTATAAAAGTCCAGGAGCTCCTTTGTCTGAGATCCCTCCTGAGAGGCACCAACCCAGGCTGTTTCTGTGTTATTACACTGTTAATAGATTGCTTTATGGAAAAAGGTGTCACACCTGGGGTCAAACCAGTAAGGAAACCTGGTCTGACTGCAAGCCAGGTGTGCAGGGAGTCAAGTGGTGCACCTGTCAGATCACTGGAGCTACCTGCAGTAAAGGAGCTTTGGTCCCAGAAGTTGAAGTCTCTGGCCCTGGGAGAGTGACTGTCAGAGAGTCCTGTAAATACTCAGACTGCTAAGTTTCCATAACACAACCCAGGCCATTCTATGATTTGCTTACAATTCTGTAGACACCCAAGCAGCTCAAAATCTTAGAAGTGCAAACAAGAAACAAATACGTAACAACAGCAACTTCAACTTTTTTTTAAACATTGAGATTCTTTGTATTTATACAAAATACAGATCCTGTCCCTCCTTCAGCACCACTCATCCACAGATCATTGATCTTTCCTCATTACCCAGGTGCTCCTTGAAACTGTTGCTGCCTTTGTTGCAAAGCTTGTTGACTTAACAGTTGCTGTTGTTTCTGTAGAAACTGTACTACTTCTGGGCTTCTGAGGAGGGACTGAAAGAGAGAGAAAATGAATTTTACTTTACAAAACTCACTTATGTTAAATAGCTACTATAGTAATATTTTTCCATTACATTAATTTGCACATTACCCTCTGCTGTTGCTTAATATCACAAAACCCCTGTAACCATAGCAAACAGAGTAATCCATTGACATACTATAACCAAACCATCTTTCAGTTGTGTTTCACTTCTACAGCTATGTTTCAACTAAGCTAATTTCTACATTTCCCACTGCAGATAGCTCAAAAGCAGTTTAATAAATTAATAAAATATTGTAATCCTGCAACAAAGTTCATGTGCCTGTCATAGTTCAAGCATCAGGACTATGCCCGTAGCACATATTTTAGTTTTAGGCAGTCCCATGAGGAGCAGGGAGTTGGACTTAATGATCCTTGTGAGTCCCTTCCAACTCAAGATGGGTTTCACTGACTGTCCAGAATTTCCCATTATTTCAAAACAGCAGCACATCCAGAGGGAATGAGTTAAAAAACTCCTCTGTATTCAATCAAAAGACAAAAGTATCTAAAAGTATTTGCATCTGGCTTCTGTCCTAAATAGCTTCAGTCTGTAATGCAACTCTGGTTGTTCACACTCATGCCTGAATGGTGGCAGCACAAGTGATTGTAAGGTAAAATGGCAAATTGAGTTGGGAATTGATCCTTCCAAAAATTAATAGAAGAAAAGGTTGAGGTTTTTTTTTTTGTTTTTTTTTTCAGCTGAATGAATTCCCTAGATGCTTGCTTATTATCCATGGTCACTTCAGTGATACAACCAAAGAGGTATTGCAACTGCAAGTCAGAGGAGAAAGAGAGAAGCAAGAACCAGATCAAGGAGAATGTGAATTTCAGGAATACTGAAAAGAATTCTAAATTCTTAAACAGCCTTGACATAATTAGTGCAAAAGCTCTGAACATCTATTGAAAGAGCTCCTTCTATAAAAAATAATATTTCATTCATAAGATACCTTTCAAATTTAATTGAAAGCCACATCAACAGAAACAGTCAGGAAAGAGGGCAGCAAGCCAGTAAGTGGGGCATGAAGAACAAGAGATAATATGAAAACTACTCCATAGTTCATTACTTGTTTTCCTCATAAAAACTGAAAAGCTATGAATACTCCTCTGAGTTTTAGATGCAATCACTAAAAAAGTGCTATCACTTATAAAGAATTATCAGGAAATACATCTAGGTAGTTATATACCAAAGACTGACATGATGTTTTTTTTAAGGCTTTCCAAATTTCTGAACTAGCACTACAGTGCTATATTGAGGATTGTTAAATTGTCTTAATTGCACAAGTAAGAGAGAGAAGACAAACAGTACCAATAGCTTTTACAGTCCCAAGAGCTTCTGAAGAATAGGGACTGTAAAAACATGCAACAAAGAAAGTTGTAGTGAAGAAGCCGAACAAACTGTAGGTAATGAATTATTTCCTTGCATTGGGCTTAACTTGTTAAAGGAGAAACCAGTGTTTAAAAAACACTAAGACATGCCATTCATGCAGTCTGCAAATATAAATCACACTGTTTGCTTAGAGTTTGCTTTATCAATGCACATTAACTTTGATATGATATACCTACAACTTCTATAACGCACCATAGTAAAGCTTACATCAGACCGAAAGTCCATTCATTGTTCTACCTAAGGCTTTGGTCCAATAAGCTAAAATCATCTCAGGTATACTGTATTATTTACCCTAAAGAAGCCATCTCATCTGTTTTACCAAAACTTCAGATCCTTAAATTCAGTCATCTTAGTATTCTTCACAGAGACACCAAAGCACACATCTCTGAAGCATGTTTCAAATTTGAAAATATGCACTTGCAGTGCATGCTTATTAAACGGATTTTCTTTTTTTACTATGGTGACAGGTAAACACTGTTACATTGACTTTATTTATTTGAATTCAAAACCTCTCAAATACAAGACTTACCAGTCTCTTTTTATTCAATACTTGTTCTAAAAGAGTAGGTCTTGCTGGGCGATCTCCAACGGATCCTGTCCTCTGCTTTGTGACAGACACTGAACCTTCAACACTATCCTGCACATGACAGAAAACAGAAAAAAAAAGGAGGTCAGACTATGAACTCTGATACAATCATACACCAAAAATCCCAAGAGTAAAGAACACCTGCAGAGAAAAGTAACAGCACAGGAATGGAAATCTGTCTAGTCAAGACCTGGCCTCTTCTTTCAACCTCCTTTCACTATTTCACCAGCAAGAGTGAAGCAACACAGCTGACTTGGTCTTCTATACTGCAAAACTGAACAGGTTACTAGGCCCAGTTAATGGCTTCATTTTTTTGATTGGACTTCTTAAAAGTGAAGTAATTCACAAAAGGTCAGCCTCCAGCTTGTGAAAATTAATATTATTTACCATTTGTAATTGGCCAGGAATGACAATAATCCTTGTTGTACCAAACTTCAGAATGCTATACTAAACTTGCCAAAGCCACAGGCTTTTTTTTTTTTTCCAAGTTTATTCTGTTGCCTGTACAATCACCAGTCATCTGAATGAGACAGACTAGTACAACATGGCTTTACAATCTGCTCTAATGAAAATACGAAAGGTTTGGAAAATTTCAATGTTGAATCCTATGTGTATTACATTCACAACGTACTGATACTTCCATCTACCTGAAAGGGTTCAAAAGCAGGAACAACAAAAAACTATCCCACAGAAGTGAAAAATGAAACTTCTACTAGGAATTTCTACTGAAATTGGTCTCAGTAAACACCACTGCAAAAAAGTAAATTTAGCAATAAATACCCTTTCTTCTGCAAGTACAGGCCCTAATTTCCTTACATTCAAAGAATCCTGCACTCACACTGGTAAAAGAAAGCCCACCCTCTTCCAACATGCAATAATCACTATTTCACACTACAGATCAAAAAGTTTTAATCCATCAGTACATGAAATGCAGCATTTTTACCCTCCTCACATACTGTCCCCTTTTCTAAACTAGGACAAGTATTTGTATAGACACATCATGAATCGGGCAAGATGAACTATTAGGGAAGGAAGGGAGGGAAAGTCATGCTGGAATACAAATCTAGAATTCATTCTCCTCTTGAATAATGTGTAGAGCTTCTCTCACCTCCCTGAAAAGAGAAGCAGCTATTAGAATTAGACAAGGCTCACAAAGCAGCAAGGATTATAAAAGTGCATAACTTTTTTCTTGGAAACAAGCATGCTATCTATGCCTTTTCAACGTGAGAAGAAAAAAACTTAGAGGCAAGCTTTACAAGTAAGTATTAAGAACACAAGGACTAATGTAAACGCTAACACTAATGTCAACACTATTCTAATGTAAATACTACCTGGCAAATGAGGCTGACACCAAAGATTCAAAAACAAAGTGAGCATTCACACCAGGCAGCAGACCTGAACACACTACCAGAATGTAACTAGAGCCTCAGAGGGTTCAAGAAAAATCCAAAATACTATATGGAACACGTATCACTTATAGTTACAGAATACATCACGAAAACCTCAGCAAGTCCTCTGAACTGAAAGCAAAAGACAAAAGTGTCTAAGAGTATTTGCATCTGGCTTCTGTCCTAAAAAAGATGAGAATATTCCCTAGCAGCATTACGTACACTTCCCTTTTTTAAAGCACCTGCCTCGTGGCTTTTACAGACTTACAAAAGAAGGTTCTTTCACATGATACCCAGTATGGTTACTATTATATTTATATTAAAACAAATGAAACAGGAAAATATTTGGGTGGTCAGTTTGCAGTTAGATCACTTCCCAGCAACACAATTCCAGACACAGCTCTGATGACATAAAAGGGTTGCTTTTAGCAGGGTGCCAAGTTGAGATTTTTTTTTCTTCTGACAATCACTATTTTACACCTACCCCTTTGAGTACAAACCACTCAGCACCTTAAAGTGTAAAACATTCCCCTTTTTCTGTTTCATCTAAATACAAGATCTGAAACACTATACAAGCGACCATCACAGAAGTGTATGGTCCTAGCTGAGTCACAAACTGTAGGAAAAAGAGTATTTAAAAAACTGAACGTTACCATCATTTTTCCCACTAATATTATTTCCCCATCTAAACAATACACATTCGCTTATACAAGTTAAGTATGAACTAGCAGCTGTTGAAATATTTACCTGCCATTTAATGTAAAAGTAATAACCAAAAAGCATCCCGAAAAACCTACACAACTGATTTTTGTACAACCTGATACCCAACGGCCTTTGTGACTTTAAAGCCCCATACTTCAGCACCAGCTGTCTGACATCTCTCTTAGATCTATCCTTTCTGACAAGTCTAACATGTCTCTTAAATCTATACTTCCCTAGCACGGGAAAAAAGCCATGCTGCAAGCGAAGCATCTTCTAGCGATATTTTTTTTTTTTTCTTGGAATCTGATATAGCTGTAAGCTTCTACAGTTTACGTCAGAGGTGACAACAAACGGAGTTTGCTCGTGCAGACAGAAGAAGAGCGAGCTGTAGGACGGCCCCAAACCTCTTCTCTGTCTCTGGCCACCCGACCCAGTTTTTCACGGGGGCCCCGCTCCGAGGCACCGCGCGGCACCGGGGGTGGCCGGGCCGCCCCCCGCCTCACCTCGGCCCGCGGGCCGCCCCCCGCGGCCGCCGCCCCGCCGCCCCCCAGGGCCTGGTCGCTCTTCTTGCGCTTGTACTTGTCCTTGTAGATCTTGTTGCGGTGCCGCTTGCACATCCAGGGCTTGCGCTGCTTCACCACCTGCGTGGTGGTCTCGCTGCAGCCCTCGTACGTGCAGCTCTTGCACTCGCCGCCCGCCGCCGCCTCGCCGCTCGCAGCCCCCGGCGCCGCCGCCTCCTCCTCCTCCAGCTCCTCCAGGCTGGCCGTGCTCTCGCCGCCCACCACCTCCAACTCCACCTCCTCCTCCCCCACCTCGATCTCGCCGGGGGCCTCCAGCTCGTAGAACACCATGAGGCCGCCGCTAGCGGAGGGCGGCAGCTGCGGGTCGGCGCTCGGCTGCAGCACCACCCCCGCCGCCCCCTCCTCGCCGCCGCCCGGCTGCATGACGAGCAGCGTCAGCTGCTGCTGCTGCTGCTGCTGCGGCGGCGGCGGCGGCGAGGAGGAGGCGGAGGAGGCGGGAGCGGCGGCGGGGCTGCCCTGCAGGGCGGCGGTGCCGTGCCCGGCCCGGCCCGGCCGGTCCCCGCGCGCGCCGCCCGCGCGCAGCCGCCGCGCGCCCCGCGCAGGCGCCCCGGCCGCGCTCAGGGGCGGGGCCCCGCTCGGGCGGCGCGCGTCGGCGCTGCGGCGGCGCCGCGGGCGGGCGGCGCTCGCGGTTTGGCCCGGGCGGTAGATGCCCGTGGTCGAAAGTCAGTGTCTGAAAGCAATCAGAAAGTTTTATCAGCATGTTGCACGCTTGGCGTGGGAATTGGTTTGTTAGTCCCTGACCTGCTGTGTAAGCACACGGCAGCGGGTTTTGGATATGGCGGCAGGGTGAAAGGAAAGAGAGAAAAGATGAATTAGAGGGGGTGAGGGGTCAGAGAGAGGAAAATAAAAGAAAAAAGAACATAAAGGAGAGAAAAGAGAAAAAAAGAGGTGCTACCCAGACTTGGAGGGGGGTACTTTTTCATGGACAGGTTTCTCGCTTTCTGTGCAGATTAATTATTGTGCACAGTCTGTATTTACTGTCAGATCTTTTGGGAAATAGCTCAGAGAGCTTCAAGGAACTTCAGTGGTCTTGATCTCCTCCCACAGTCTATGCCACATCTTGCCCTCATTCCTGGGCTTGTGTGGTGCTGTGTTGATCCCATCTACAGTGACCATAACAAGGCTGTTTGTCCTGGAAGAGTGCCGCCCTCCGTCCACATGTCCCCAGCCTCATCTCGCTCTTTCTCACAGGGTTAACACCAGCAATCCTTGTCAGTGCAAACGGTCCTTGGTTGGCTCCATTGCTATCCAGCTATCTTAGAGACATACACATTATCCTGTCATCTTCTGGGATTCAACACTCTGTCAGCCTGCCCAGCCTCCTGTCCTGCTGTGTCGTGTGATGGCTGTCCAGACTCAAGCTTTCCTGCCACAGATCTTCACAAATGTGGCTCTAGGCTGTACATGTGTTATGAATGGGGTCCCATATGTCCAATTTCATAAATCACAAGATTGAAATTCAGCAGCAATTTTAATTGGGATATAAAATAATAATAATACAATCAAATATAATGAAGTGGTTACAAAGAGTTATTTGGCAATAGTTCAGATAGAGCATAAGCAAAACCGTTTGGGGTACAGGGAGGGTTCTCACCCTGCCACCTGTACAAAAGACAAAGGATCCAAACACAACTTTTATACTGTATGCTAATACATATTCATCAATAGTTTCTCCTGTTTTTGATTCTTGAAATGTACGTCACTCTGCTGCAATGGTGCATGCTCCCATTATTGCTATGGTGTCTTCATGTCTCTTTGGGGGTCTTCTTGGAGGAAGGCTGAAGGTCTTCCTCGCTGTCCTCTGAATAACCTGGTAGGTTGCGCATGCACATTGAGCTTGATGCATTATGTTCCAATTGAGCCTTATTATTTCATAGATAAGACCATTATTTTATGTTCCCTATCTGGAATGGTCCCAATTTTATTCATATTCAAGGTCAATCCTGCTGTGGGAGTTGTCTTCTAACTTCAGTTGACGTCAATTTTGGTTTGGGAGTCAGTTCCTGACTTCCTCCTTTTCCAAGGCCAAATCCAACTCCTGCATCCTGCTTTCCACATGTATTCTTGAAGAAACCCATCTGCTTCATAACACTAATCATATATACTTTTCCAATTATTTTTCCAAATTATTGATTTAAGTACAACTTACTCAGCACGAATCACATACATTTATCACACTTGAATCCTTTCTCTTCATCTGATGTCACTTTGAGAGTGCAGATACAGAGATGCAATTTGGATTTTCCCCCTCAGCTTTTTTGTTGACTCTAGTAACAGCCCATGTAGTTGTCAGCATGCTGCTCCTTGCCCTTTCTTCCTTGGGTCCTTCCTTAGTTCTCTCCTCGGGTTACTTCTGCATGGCTGCAGAGAAGTCTTAATGAATTCCATCTCCTTGATCACCTGCTGTTGGCCCCCCTTTATTTGTCTAACCTCCTTACTTTTTGTGGCTTCTTGCCTTTCTCATTGCACACAACAGTTGATCCCATATTAAAGAACACCGCTTACTCTATTTATTCCCTGGCAATTACCACAGCTCTCATTTCCTGTCACTAAGACAAATGATTATGCTGTTCGCAGTTGTAGCCATTCTGTTTAACCCTCAATCTTGTCATAATACACTTTTCTCTCATTTGTCAAAATAGTTAATGATAAGTCTCTAGTCCTAGAAAAATGGAAGTGAACTGAGTAACTCTGTCCTCATTGCCTTTGACCAGTCATGAGCAAGATGACCTCCAGCTCCAGGGTTTAAACAGGATAGACTATTCTTGTCAGTAAAGACTTACTTTCCCCACATCTGCTTCAGTGTCTTTCATCTCTGTTACAGCCATGCTGAGACAACTTGCCAGAAGTTTTCTTTAGGACTCAGCCTTGATCTGTGTCAGTAGTGAAAAATACAAAAATTACACGTAGCCTTGTTTTTTTCCTGCTAATTAACTATTTTGATGTCGTCACAAAATGTTTGGGGTTTTTTTCACATTCTAGGCCCATTAAAATAATTTTAGTTTATTTCTTCTCCTTTAAATGCATCTTGAAAGAATGTCTTCCTCAAATTCTAAGTTCTCCTGACATTAATTAAAATAAAAATCCAAAGTAATAATGAATCAAAATAAATCACATTTTTTCTCTATCCACACTCCTTGCATGTACACACATGTTAACTAATTAAAAGAAAGAGGAAACTGATAACCTTTAAATTTCAGGAAGAAGAGTTGTTTGGGTCCTTCATCCTCTTCTGTGAAGCCCCACTGAGACAGCAGGGTTTGGCATGGGCCAGTCTGACCAACAGACCAAAGCAGTAAAAGGCTACATGAGAAAATTATTAATGGAGTTAAGGTTTCCAACCAAATGCTCTCTTGTAGAATAAGTTGAATCCTACTTTAGACACTCTGGTAGCACATGGGGATTTCATTGGAGACTATACCTGGAAGCATAGTTCAACTCCATGATTCTCATTTTCCTCTTCTGAAGAACAAAGAGCAACAAAAAGCCACAGAAAACTAACAGTTCATTACAAAGATACTGAGCAAGTCCTTTTTAAAAAGGTGCCACTGGTATTCTCTTCTTTTCTGGCTGGTTTTCTCAGAAAAGAGAAATACTCTGATGGAAAATAAATAATAAAAAAACGTAGTGGTTTCCTTGGGCTACACTTCTATAAATCTGGCTGTTGAAGAAGGAAGGTCACATTTGGAAAATTTTATCACCAGTCGGTCCATCATTGCTATCCAGCCAGGTGCAGTTTCATCATGTTTTGTATTCCCAGATGCAATTAAAAGGAGAGGAAAAATGCAATTATTGAAATGTAATAAGTTAATTTACTGAAATGTAATAAGTTCATTTGTCCTTAGGCTGACATCTCTAAATAAATATTTAAATAGATTCTCTGATTTTCTGCTGTCTCTTCTTTTGTGTTTGTGAAATAGTTAATTTTAATGTTCTAGATTTCTGTGCTAGTTCTTAACATCCAGTTCTTAATTGTCTTGGAAACAACATGTTTTAAAAAACAGATACAGGTTAAGATCCAGAAAGGTAATAATCATTAAAGAAGCTGATTTGTCCTGCTTACAAACCAAGATAGTACTAATGATTATAGCTGAAGTAACATTTTCAAATTTTTAAAGTTACTTTAGCACTCTTCTATAAAGGATTATATGAACTTTGTTCAGTTAATATCTATCTATCTCTCTATCTATCTATCTATCTATCTATCATCTATCTTTCACAGAAGTGCATTTGCCTTTATCATGTGCTGTAAGAGCACTGGCCATACTAATAACTTCTGTGAGACATGGGACTCTGAAATTCATACATCCAGTGTTGTGATATCCCTACAAATATAATCTGAATGCAAAGTATCTTGTAACTGCCGCGCTCCTGCCCCAGAAGATGCCCTTCTTCTTCTCTAACCCCGGCTAGCTCTTTTCTCCTGGGGTGAGAACGGGCAATGGAGGCACCTCCCGCTGCTCCTCTAAGAGGGTTTGGGAGGTGTCCTCGTGGGTCCACGGGGCCGCTGGCGAGCCTCGACAGGGATAAAGAAAAGCCGGATCCAGTCGGGGGCAAAAGTCTTCTTTATTGGCGGCCAACGGGGCCAAACGCGGAGAAGGGAAGCCAGCCGACTGGAACCCAGTGCTGGGTCTGACAAGGGGTTTTATAAGTTGTGGGAGGGGTGGATGGTGAGGGGGGAACCAATGGGAAGCGGGGAAGGGAGTGGCTCCAGGATGGGGTGGCTCCGCCTGGTCCAATGGGGAAGGGGCATGGGAGCGGCCCCAGGCCCTCGTCCAATCACTCGGTGCCCTGAGGAGAAGCTTCCGGATAGAGGGGAAGGTACACCGAGTGACGGACAAGGCACCTGGGAGGGGACAGGGGAATGACTTGGCACTTTCTAGCTTGATGGGCAGGTACTGGAAAGGCGGGAAGGGAGGACCAGGCGGGAAAACGGAGAACAAAAGACTGAACCAAGTGGGAAAACAGGGGAGTACAGGAATGAACCATCGGGGAATACACATACATAAAAATATATAAATAACACACTACCACATGTAACCTTATTGTTGTTGGTTATTTGTCATAAAACTAACAGCTTGAGTCAAGGAGAGCATTTGGGTTTTTAAAACAGAAATAAGTGGTACTTGAAAGATAAACAGGAATGAATGAAGACTGCTGGAGGAAGCTGAGAACTAATAGTTTTTAAAATACATCTCTTTAGAAACACATTGATGAGGAATACAAATGCAAGTATATAGTCAAGAGAGATTTTTCTGCTTTTTTGTATCTTGTACTGCTTACCCAGCTCCCCATTTATTCTTCCTACTTGCTCTTGATGTTCAAGCCAAATTGAACAGTTATATAGTCATGGAAAGATTCAAAAGCTCAGCAGTCTGAAAACAAATCTGCCCTCAAAGGAAGGTGAAGTGCAGAATGATCAATGTGCTCACTGATAAAAATGCCCAGGTGCCAATGAGTGCTGAAGTCTTACCGCAAATAGCAAGGCAAAGGAGTTTAAGATACTGCAATCAATCTGTTAAAGCTTGATTTTCAGATAAGTGTGCAAAAATTTGATGCCAATTTCATCAAATCTTATAAACATCTCTCTTTGCACTATTCAAGTGAATAAAAATGGGTGTTATCAGAAACTCATTAAGCATTATGAATTACAGACAAATTTATTTTTGCAATCATAGAAATTAAAAAAACTAACTAAACAAAAGTTTGGTTTGCATTATGATATGTATTCTGGTTTTATTATTATGTGTGACAAAAATTGTCAGTAGAAATAGGTTTCTTCCCCCATGCCCCTCTCATTTTATATAGTTACCTTTTTCCCATGACAAGAGACAAATTAAATAGGTATGCTGAAGGAAAATCTCCCCTTCTATATATTTACACATAATTAGACATAAGTAAATCAGTAAGACATAAGTAAATAAGCTTTTTAATAAAATTAACATTTACACAATAGTAAAACAAATAAAAAACAGTCACAAATAAAAGCATGCAGGACAGGCATTAGACTGTACCTGGAACTTCACACTGGAGAGTCATTAGCCCCTCTTCTCTCCACAGTTTTAGTTACTGGAACACTACTAATTTTGAAAACAGTATTTCTTTGATGTTCTTTTAAATTAGTGAATTTAAACATTTAAGGCCTGTTAGTCTAGGTGATTTCCATTCACAATGAATGGATCATATTTACTGCCTCTGGGTAGGGTCAATGTCATCCTGGATGCTGCCCACTCATGCAGAGCCAATACCCTTGGACACGTCCTGAGCTCTTTCCTAGTCTATGTGTATTATATATACCTTCGTTGTATGGAACAGTGAGTACCCTGGCAAGAGTCAGCATTGCTAATTCCAACTATTACTGTTTCACAGGTTGATTCTCTCTCAATCTAAATCATTGAATTCAGGCCTACTTTAAAATAATATTTCCCTCCTTATAGCCAAGAAACCACAAATAGCAGAAAATTGCTTACTGGAAAAAAAGTAGGTATAATCACTATGGTTAATAATGCAGTAAATATCAAAAATGGGTTACATTTGCAAAAATTAAAAAAGAAAAGTAGTGAGCTCAGTTTTAGACTATGGAACATTGTCTTTCAGTAGAAATTGGAGAGACTTGCTTATTAAGAAAGTTAAAACTAGATGGGAGCAAAGCTGTAGATAAGGGAAGCAATCCTCTCCTGGTAGGGAAATGTTAGCTGCTCTGTCCATTGCCAACAGCTGTGGCTGCCAAATACAAGCAACTCATACCTGTGTCTGAATGTCAGCATCTTTTCCTTCTTATCTTTTCCTTCTTATCTTCTAACAACTGATAACATTGGTCACGTGTTCTGGCCTTTGTGCTGACTCACAGAATAGAATAGAATCATAGAACAGTTTGTGTTGGAAGGGACCTTACAGACCATCTATTTCTAATTTCCCTGCCAGGGACAGAGACACCTTTCTCTAGACCAGGTTGCTCACACAGTCTTGGCCTTTAACACTTTCAGGGATGGGGCATCCTCAAGTTCTCTGGACAACCTGTGCCAGAATCTCACCACCTTTAAGGTGGGAACCCCAGAGCTGGATGCAGCACTTTAGGTGGGGTCCCACAGGAGTGGAGTAGAGGGGCAGAATTCCCTCCCTTGACCTGATGGCCAACCCCCTTGTGGTGCAACCCAGGATATGATTGACTTTCTGAGCTGTGAGAAAACACTCCCAGGTCCTGTTGAGCTTCTCATCAGGGACTCTGTTTCATGATCTGGGTCACACCTTGGGATCACTCACCAACTTATTCGCAGGTTGTGTTCTGTGAATAACTTATAACTTTAATCAAACAGTGAACTATCTTCGTATAGTTCTCACATGTTTTGCATGTCATTTCAAGCAAAAGTTGTAATATTTATTTCTGGCATAATTATCTGGACAGCAAAACTTATATTTTCTATTTTGGTTTAATGCCATATATTTCTCACATATAAGTGTTATTAAAGGTGTCTAGTTTTTCTGAAAGATGTATTTCACACTTGAGAATCCCCTTAATGGAAAGGGTGCCTTTAACCTATTAACAGGAATTTCTTTCTTGAACTAGAGATTTTTTTTGCACACTTCTCTAGCATTCTGTTGAAGCTGTGAAATATCAACTTTGTCCCTTCTTTTACCCACTCTTGGAGGTTTTCTATTTTGTTTTTCAATATCAAGTGTGTGTGTGTGTATGTGTGGGGTGTGTTGATTTGCTCTGTTTAAGTGACAGTTCTTTAAAGAGCAAGAGAATCAGGATCACTTTGTCTTCTTTGTACTGCAATGATGCAGTGGGTACCCACAAAGGGAAGGGCAGAGGCATAGAGAGTCC